AGGCTGAACTTTTTTCTCTCCCTCTGTATCTCTCTTTCTATCGCTGAGAGAGACAGAGAGGGGGGAGAGAGAGAGAGGGAGGGAGAGGGGAGAGTATCGACTAAACTGCAATGAAATTTCAGGCCTGGCAATCGATTTTGCTGCGGTTGCCGCTGCTGCTGCTGCTGCTGCTTGGGATTTGCCTTTTTTGGGCCTTGGAATGTTGCATGCTGCTCCTGCTCCTTCTGCCGCTGCCACTGCCACTGCCCCCAACTCCAGCCTAAGCCCCCAAGCAACATGCAACAGCAATAGCAACAACAACAACAACAAGAACAGCACCAACAATGTGTTCTAAATAAATTCCAGGGAAATGAAATTCAGGGAGCCCCCCGACGGGTAGAGGCCGCCGAGGGAGAGCCAGGAGTGTGCTCTGCGGAAAGGCAGATGTATCTTGCAGATACAAATTCTGTACGCTGTGCGCAACGTGATTGCAATCTTTAGCATCGTCATCATCATCATCAACAGCAGCAGCAGCAGCAACAACAACAAAAGCAACAACAACAAAAGCAACAACTACAACAAGCAGGGAAATGATCGACAGGTACAGTACTCCTTAGCAGGTAATGGATGAGGCATAAATAGTGAACATGGTGCATGCAGATCGTTGGGTAATGCTGCTAATACTCGCAGGGAAAATATAGAAATTGAAGCCTCTTTAAGAGTTACAAAATTCAACAAAATTAAAGCTTACAAAGCAGTCAAAGGAGATTTCTATGCGAGAGTTTCAAAATAATACTGAAACAGTTTTGGTTCACCCATCAACTGTAGACTGAACTTCTACCTCGACCGAACCGAGAAGCGATGCTGCATGACCGCCGCATGAACCAAGCAATTTTCTGCTCTTGAGTTTTTGGCCCAGGAAACAGACTAAAGTTGACGAATTCTCTATCTATTATTTAGCCAAGAATTTGCGTTGCTAAGAAAACCAGTTAAATGTGGCTTTAGTAGACTTATCTGACTTATTTGCCTGGCATTTCCTTTAGCCCATTACTCCCACGCATACCCTAGAAATGCCGGCTAACAGCCATAACAACAACAAAAGCAACAACAAGACGAAAGAAAAACGAATCAAAAAGAAGAGGAGCAACACGAGGCACGAGATGCGCAGGCTGTGGCTGTGGCTGTGGCAAGGCTCCCAAGGCCCCAAAAACGCAACAGAGGAAGACGCAGCAGAGTCGCGCGTGCGCAGCCTCAACGGATGTCTAAGCCATGTTGTTGCTCTTTTTCTTCTCTCTCTCTCTCTCTCTCTCTGTGTGTTGGCCTGTTACCTGTTTTGGCCTTTCTTGTGTGCTTTGCCTTCTTTTTGGCCAGAGCCAGAGCTCTTGCACCTCCAGGCAGGAGAGGGCAGGAGCGGGGAGCGGGGCCTGTGGCTGCAGCTAAAAATCAAAAAAATCAACCAATGTTCGTACAGTAGCTGCCTTGCGTCTGCGTCTGCGTCTGCCTTTTGCTCTTCTTTTTTTTTATGCTTTTAATGAGCTTTTATATGGGGCTGAAGGATCAGGGCAAGCAAGCGGCAGAGGGGGGTTGGGGGTGCAGGCATTGAGCCAAACCAAGCGAATGCATCTCCATGTCAGAGGAGGATGATGATGATCATGCTGATGATGCTTTTTGCTTTTGCGGTTTACCCATAACCCCACACACACACACACACACACACACACACACACACACACACATCTTTAAGCGATTTCTAGGCCTCTCAATGGAATGGAAATACTCGCACTCGCACTCGCACTTAAGGTATTTGGTTCCCATGGGCTGCCACAGTGCGGCAGGTGGTGTGGGGGGGGATAGGTGTTGGATGATTGTTATGGTAACACAGTTTCTGGCCGCAGCCATAGAGACAACCGCAAGGAACACTTGTTCCAACAGAAATACTCACAATACTCGTGAGTGTAGGGGAATTCAGAGCACAACAATATTTACCATGAAGTTTCGATCTTCAACGCAGTTCTGATAAGCTGCAATTTTAAAGATAACTTTAAGGTAACCACTCAGCAATTAGCGTACAGATTTTAGTAGAATTTTTGTAGAAATTATTTTAATAAAAGGTTCCCCAGATAACATTCCTAAAGCTATGATCTCCAGCAGAGATCTAGTTGGTGGCTTAATAAATTTCTAGCCTCAAATCCAGTCCATAAACTGTCTCTCTCTCCTTCTATTTTCAGCATGGATAATCTTTATTTATTTATTTATGAAGATTAACTTTAATTCATTATGAAATAATATTTAAATTAATTGTATAAAGCGCTAGCATCGGCGCCTTCGGCTCAAGCAGAAGAATTTATGCACAGCTAATTTATGTATTAAGAGTTTTCCATGTGCATAAAGATATTATATTTTCAAATCAAGTCATATAGTCAAACTATTAGCTCAATTTATGATCATTTAAAATTCTGCATTATGCACAAAGCAAAACAAAGTCATTCCCTCATTATGCTACATAATCCACATATAAATAGAGAATCTGTTCCAAGTTTCCCCGACCTAGAAGCGCATGCTCTGGAAAGCCCAGAGTTCCACAGAACAAAACTTCATCTCCACTCGAAATCAGTTCGTGTGGCAAAAGTATTTCCCAGGGAGCGTCTGAACTGTGGCATACCTTTCCCCCCCCCCCCCCACCCCAACCCATCCCACCCAACAGCAATTCAGCGCCGAAGCGACGCACAGCTCAATCTGCAGCTGTCAGGTGTGGCCGGCTAATTGAGAGAGTCGCGTTACGAGATCATCTTGACACTTTTCGAGGCAGCAGCAGAGGCAGTAGGCACCTGCCGGACGCCATGGATCGGCTGATGATTAACTAGTCACTCCAATTGAGAGGCAGCTTGAAGATGGGGAAGGGACAGGGGACAGGGGACAGGGACAGCGGCAACTATGAGGTATGTCGTCTGTGATAAAAAAGAAAGAAAAAAAAATACACCGACAAGTGGCCGCTGGCAAGTGCTGACGCATTTTGGCCCAAAGGCTGATAAGCCCCCCCCCAAGAGTCAAAACGTAAATTCAATGCCAAAAAGCGAAAAACTCTCTCGAAACGGAAACGGGCCTAACGCAGAACAAAAAAAAAAAAAAAAAAAAAAAACAAAAAAAACACAGCAGAAACGAGCAAATACAAGATACAGATAAAGATAGAGCCCACAGATACAGATACAGATACACACAGGCAAAAGATACAGATACAGCGATCGTATGGGTTTCTTTTTTTTTTTTTGGCACAAATGGAAATTAAGGTCCCAAGCAGCGTATTACTTATTCAAATTTCGATTAGCATCTCGAACCGTGGGAGCAAACCCTTCCCCCGAGCTAGAACTAGAAACGTACCCACCCCCCACCCCACCCACCTGCTGGACTGAACTGTTAAATATTTGACTTTTGCATGCCATCGCCATGAGTTCAACGTCGCGTCGTACATCAAGTCTCGTTGTGTCTGTGGCTCTGCCTCTGGCTCTGGCTCTGTGTTGGTTGCCTGTTGTTGCCGCTCATTTAATTTTCAAACATTTATCAACAAATATTTGGCGCTTATCATTTGTTCGACTCAAACACAGCGGCGAGGAGAGTAGAGGGGGCAGGGTAAAGGCAGCCTGTGGTTGCTCCACTCCTAACCAGAAGCTGCCATCAACAACATCAACAGCATCAGCAGATTTACTGACCCGAACACCTGACAACCTCCAACCCACGCCCCGCCCCCGCCCCGCCCCGCCCATCTATGTATCTGTAGAGTCTCTCCAGCTGCCATGGCTGGATTTTTGCACAACATTTTGTGTGGATTTCTAGCTGTTGGACTTTCTGCTGATGCTGCTAATTATTGTGGGGGCGAGCTCATAATGGTTATGGGTCGATGATTGGGGGGGGGCAGTGCGGTGAGTCTTTCCTTGAGCAATGGCTTTGGGAATTGTTCTCTGTGGATTGTTGAACCTATAACCTTGAACATAGCCCAAAGGCACAGCATATCAACCAGATTTTATGCACTCAATCAGCTGCCTGACATTTTAATTCGTGAATTTTTTGAGTGCTATAAGAATAATTCCTATAAAACCTATAATTCCTATAATTCAATGCCTTGGAATTCATACAAAGAATCTATTTTAAATTCGGCTATGAGCCGTACCACTAACCATACAGTATACTGTATGGTTAGTGGCCGTACTTAACCCTTCCACTCAAACGACCGAGGGGCGCTGCCACATGACGCGTGACAGGCGCCTAAAGGATAGCTACTAGAATAATTAATAAGGAAAATTGGCCCTTAAAATAAAAACTAAGCAACTAAATAACCAATATTAACACTAATTGCTATTTAAAGAGTTTACTTTTGTTATTCGCCTGTAACAAAGAGCATGGGAGTTAGTGGTGGTCTGGCTATAATTTTGTAGACATTTCTACGAATTTGAAGCAAAGAAATTCCCCAAGCTCTAGGCGGCATCTATTTCTTTTGGGGGTAAGGTAAGGTAACATTATTCCGTGGTGTCTTTTCCCAGGGGCAAGCGCAGAGCCAAAGCAATTCGTGTGTGTGTGTTTTGGTTGGCCATGGGTTGCCATGGCACCGGAAGACCCTTTGGCATGGCATACACTCGTATGCAGGTATGTACCTGCCACAGTCCACAGATACTCGAAGGAATCCACAAATTAAATCTTACCAAAGAAGGAGCCCAGCAGAGCCACAAATTATGGGCATAGAAAAATTAGATGGCATGCAAGAAGACGAACTAAAACAAATGCCAGAAGCAGCACCAGTGGTGGATCTCCTCTAACCGAAACAGAAGGTAAGGGTAACCGCAGGAAGCGGCAACAGCATTCCTGCTCAAACTCAAGAAAGAGGAGAGTGTGAGGGGTGGGTAGGGGAAATGGGGCGGTGCCCCGAGGGCAGAGGAATGACACGCATCCGGTTTTGAAATTCCACAGAGCCAGGCCAAGACGCACCAGCAGAGAACCCAAAAAAACAAAAAAAAATAAAAATAAAAATAAAAAAAAAAACATCGAGGAATTCAGACACTTGAAGTCGCCAGCAGACAGCCACAGCACAGCCACAGAACAGAACAGGAAGAGCAACCAACTCCATCTTTAGCAGCAGAGGGAGCAGGAGGCGTCCCGTTGCCCCCCTCCCGTCCCGATGGCGACACTGGAGCTGGACTACTTCAGGGCCGTGTCCCTCTACCGGCGTCGCTCATACGAGCAGTGTGCGGAGCTGTGCAACGCCCTGTTGCAGGCCGGTCACGACAACAATGTCCAAATGTTTGCCACCAAAGAGGGGGCCCAGGAGGAGCACCAGCCGCCGCAGCAGCCGCAGCAGGCGGAGCTCGAAGGGCAGCAGCAGCAGCAGCAACAGCCGCAGATTCGGTAGCAATTTGCAACGCATTGGCCCCAGGCAGCAGCAGCAGAAGGCCGTCGCCGCATCCATCATGATGCCCACTTGGCTGATGGAGGGCGTGTGGCAATTAAAGATGCGAGCCCTGACGCAACGCGTCTACCTGGACGACCTCGAGGTGGACGATGCCGGCGAGGAAGAGGGTGAGTCGGCCGTCTTCTAATCCCCACTGCGATGCCATTCAATCCCAATTCTATTTGCAACCGCAGCCCACGAGGAGGTGGAGTTCGAGCGGATTGCCACGGCCGCCCGTCCTGGCAGCAGCATCAAGACCGCTTTCCAGCCGCGTCCGAGCACCAGCCAGCGGCTGGCGCAGCGCAGCAGTCGTGGAGCCGGCATGGCCCACTCCAGCGATGGGCGGCTGAACAGCTCCAGGCCGGGATCGGCGGCTGTGGCGCGTCCGGGCACGAGTCTCAGCCGTCCAGGCTCGTCGCTGGGCGCCAGACCCGCCTCCCGCTGTGGCACCGCCTCGCGGGTGCGGGCCACATCGGCGGCGGCCTTTAATGTGGGCGACGCCACCTCGAAGCTGTACCAGGCCTCCCGCCTCAATCCCACCATCTACGCGGAGCGGGAGACGCTGGTGAAGGCGCTGTTCCAGTTCCTCTACTACCACGAGGCGGATGTGCAGAAGGCGCACTCCCTCTGCCAGGCGGTGCTCGAGGTGCAGCGCCAGCGACCCACTGCCTCCGGATCGGAGGCAGCAGGCACGGACTGGTGGTGGCAGCAGCAGCTGGGCCGCTGTCTCCTGGCCCTCCACTATCCCCGGCGGGCGGAGCCCTGCCTGCAGCAGTCGCTGGCCGCCTTTCCCCATCCGGACACGTATCTGCTGCTGTCGCGTCTCTACCAGCGGCTCAAGCAGCCCGAACGCGCCTTGGTCTTGATCGGCGAAGTGGTGGATCTGCGACCCTTCGATGTCACCTATCGGCTGGAGCAGGCGCGCATCCACCAGGCCATGGAGCGGCAGGAGGATTCGCTGCAACTGTACCGCCTGGTGGCCCGGCTGCAGCCCATCAATGTGGAGGCGCTGGCCAGCATTGCCGTGGGCTACTTCTACGACAACAATCCGGAACTGGCGCTCATGTACTACCGCCGCATCCTCTCGCTGGGCGCCCACTCGGCGGAGCTCTACTGCAACATAGCCCTGTGCTGCCTCTACGGCGGACAGATCGATCTGGTGCTGCCCTGTTTTCAGCGTGCCTTGGCCATGGCCACACAACCCGAGCAGAAGGCGGATGTCTGGTACAATCTGAGCTTTGTGGCAGTGGTGAGTCTCACCGCATAAGTATCCAAACGTCACTTAGATCCGATCCACCATTAAATCTAATTGTAGACCTCGGGCGACTTCAATCTGACGCGTCGCTGCCTGCAGCTCTGCCTCACCTCGGATGCACGCAATGGCGCGGCGCTCAACAATCTGGCCGTGCTGGCGGCCCAGGGTGGCGACATTATGGGGGCCAAGTCCTACCTGAATGCCGCCAAAGATATGATGCCCGATGCCGAGGAAGTGACCAGCAATCTGCACTTTATGGATCTGCACTACAAACTTTAGTACAGTAAAAACCGGCACTCTGTTTCAATATAAATACATATATGTATATTAATTATTATGCACCAAATAATCGGGATTTATTTTGATTTGAGCTTCGTCGCCTACGGCCTTTGCAGCCAATCGTAGATGGGATCCAGGCCCACCTTGGTCACCGCACTGGCCTCCACAATGGTCACCTGCTGGCGTATCTGCTTCTGCAGCTTGGACATTTGCAGCATGAGCAATGCCTCATTGCGCATCTGCCGATAGGAGTAATCCATTTTGGCCAGCACCAGCAGGATCTTCACCTTCTGCAGGCGGGGCTCCGTGAGAATGGAGTAGAAGAGCACGCCAGCAGCCGATATCTGGCAGAGATTGGAGGTGTCCACCACATAGATCAGCTTCTTCACGTCCTCAAAGTACTGCCGCCACAGCGGTGCCATGCTGCCGCCAATCTCCAGGATCTGAATGGACTTGGGCAGATGCTTACCGCCGTGGTTGTGGTGGTGGTGTGCCTGTGTGGCTCCATCCGCTGGCGGGGGCTTTGGCTTGTCGCTATTCGGCGATTTGGTGGGAAAATGAATGCGATAGATGCCCGTTCCAATGGTGGGCATCGAGTAGCTTGTCTCGTCAATCGAGTCTGGCTCCTGCAGGGCCTTCAGCAGGTGGGTCTTGCCCGAACGCTTGGGACCCAGACAAATGCAGGACATTATTCGTTTCGTTCTGCTATTGATCAAACATTCTTTGCCGTGGTAACGGGAAATTAATTTAAAATTCAAATTCTTGCGCCCTCTGTCGGGCACTTTTTTAACTAACTTGGCAGTTAAAAACCAGCACAAAATGTACTGTGGTACGCAATCTCTGGTCACACTGTCAAAATACCATTTTTAAATGACCGCCAAAATCCATTTAGCGCACAAAAAATTCGGAAATTGTGCGATAACCACATTGAATCTAAAAACATGTTGCTGGCATCATCAAACTGTTGCCAAAGTCCTAAAAGCATGCTGCTAACAACTTAACATGTTGCCAAAGTACTTGCACTGACAATTGTAGAGTTCCATAAACAGGCGCAACGGTATTTCATATGGCGCCACTGAGCAATCTAGTATTTATTGGTATTTTATGGACAGATGGTAATTTTGATTCTATCGTTATCGGCGCTGTCACGCTGATTCGTAAGCATTTCATTTGAATATTTTTTATATGAATATTTACGCTAATCGAATACTTTCATTACACTTTTTGCAACATAAACAACAGTTTTGTTATGCTTCTTTATTAAATCTTATTTTATAAAAATTATGATATCCCAACTAGCTGGGATTTATAAGTATATTTACGGTATATTATCAAACTAGAAGGTATATTTGGGTATTTTTTTTATGGTCAGACCGTATACGATAAATCCGGCACTGTCATCGTAAACAAAATTTGTATTTTTATATTTGCGTAAAATGGATGAACTTTGCTCAAAACCGAAACCGGCACAAGTTCCTCGAGAGGAAGTCAAACAAACAGGATTCGAGAAACAGTTTTCAGTGCCTGTGAATGGCGTACCCACGGAAATCGTCTACCATCGCTTCGGGCGCAAGCGGCTGCTGGTCATCACGCAGCTGGGCAAGATTGCCGGCACCTACAATGTGAGCTTCGACATTAGCAACAATCCCACAATGCTCAAGCCGGTGCACAGTCCAGAGTTCCACGTTTCGGTGCCAATAACCATCCACTGCTGTCTGGGAGCCAACACGGCCGAAATCGACTGTGCCATACAGTTCCTGGTGAACAACACCAAGCTCTGGGAATCGCCAACGGATTTCGTCATTTGCCTGGGCCTGAAGGACATCGATGGCGACAGTCTGCGCGCCCTGGCCAAGGTGCTGAACGAGATTGTCCTTTAGTATTGTACATACAAACATTATTATAACCCAATAAACGTCATAGACCAGAATCACTTTTCGCAAACGTTTATATTTCGTCGAATTTGTACATTAAAACGTGTACGAAGGTCGGAAACAAAACATCACTTCATAGGGTAAAAAGCACAAACACGGCGGATGTTATGTCGGTATGGATGTGGTTCATAAGCAGATGGATGCTTAATCGAACAGGCCGAATCCCATGTCGTCGTCGGACACATCGGACTCTTCCTCCTTCTTCTCCTCCTTCTTCTTGGACTCGGCGGCTGGGGCATCGGCGGCAGCGGGGGCAGCAGCACCACCAGCTGGGGCAGCACCAACTCCGGAGCCGATGTTGGTGATCAGATCCTTGACGTTGACGCCCTCCAGAGCCTTGGCGAAGAGACCGGGCCAGTAGGGCTCGACCTCAACGTTGGCGGCCTTCAGGATGGTGGAGATTTTCTCACCCTACGGCAATGGATATGAATAAATATCATTAGTATGGGGCGTGGAACAGCACAATGTATCACAGGATGAACAAAACTTTCACAAATCCACTAGGATGGCGCCAATCACAAAAGATTTGTTTTCCGTTCACATTGACTTTGATATCGCGAACTTACGGTGACGGCAACATCGTCATCAACCAGGATGAGGGAAGCGTAAACGCAGGCGAGCTCAGCTTTTGTCGACATTACGATATTGGTGATAAATTAATGATTGTGCAAGTTGCCAAAAATTAATTTATTTATAATAAATGGCCTTAGCTCGATTGAGAACAAGCACGCTGGGGAAAAGTCCAAACCGGAAAGAGGGGATGCGAGCAGTGTGACCGCGCATTTTTCGATCAAATATATCTGTTCATTTGCTCAGAAATATACCGTTTGCCCCTCATAAGTGTACCGTAACATATACATCAATTGATGAAAAATACTATATTAAATACCATGCCATACAATATCATGAACGAACTTAACCCACTTAACACCCCTCTATTCAAAAAGTTGAGCACCCTTTGTTGATCCGCGGAAAATAATACTGTTTCTAAAGGCTCCTTGTAGCTCCATCATCCTCTTTACTTACAAAAAAAAAATGACCACCGATATCTTTCACCTGCAATGTGTAAAATATGTTAAAGTTACATGCATTTTGTGAAAATATTAAATACCCCCCTAGTCGATAATGGGTTAATCGGCCCCGTCCAAATTCGTAAACAAAAAAGGCGCGCAGAATGTCGGACCCGGAAGATGTAAAAATTAAGAAGGAAAACAAAACTATAGCCGATGGCGATCCATCCGAGGATGAGGAGATGAAGGACATAGGCAGCATCACGTCGCTCAAGTCGCTGGGTCCGTTCATCGCGTCGCGGGAGAACAGCCAGAATACGGTGTACCTCAGCGATGTGCCGGCCGTGTGCAAGGAGAAACCCTGCATGCTGGGCGTTGACGAGGCGGGCAGAGGTCCCGTGCTGGGTCCCATGGTCTACGGCATCTCCTACTGCCCGCTGGAGAGCAAGCAGGCGCTGGTCGATCTCGGATGTGCAGACTCCAAGCAGCTGACGGAGGAGAAGCGTGACCTGATCTTCAACGAGCTAAACACACTCGAGTATGCCAACAGCTGCGTGGGCTGGGCCGTGGAGATCATCTCGCCGAATGTGATCAGCACGAGCATGTACCGGCGCGCCAAGTGCTCGCTGAACGAAGTCTCCATGGAATCGGCCATGGGTCTGATACAGCGGGCCATCGATGCGGGCGTGAACATAGCCGAGGTGTATGTGGACACGGTGGGGCCGCCGGAGAAGTACCAGGAGAAGCTGCTGCGACGCTTTCCCAGCTTCAAGATCACCGTGGCCAAGAAGGCCGATTCCACCTACCCGATTGTCTCGGCGGCCAGTATTTGCGCCAAGGTTACACGCGATCATGCCCTCAAGGTGTGGCGCTTTCCCGAGGGTCTGGTCATCAAGGACAACGCCTTTGGCAGCGGCTATCCCGGGGATCCGGTCACGAAACGCTTTCTCACCGAACACATCGATCTGGTGTTTGGCTTTCCCCGGCTCGTGCGCTTCAGCTGGTCAACGGCTGAGAATGCGCTGGCGGACAAGGCCTACGACATGGAATTTGATGAGCCGGACTCGGAGAAGCCCAAATATGCGGGCACCAAGCTCACAAAGTTCTTCAAGGGCACCACCAAAGAGGGCGAGGTGATACGCGAGGAATGTCGCTTCTTCAAGCAACGTCACCTGTCCAATGTCGTGGAATTTTAGTGCATAATCCATGATCCCTGATGCGAGATAATATTAAATATAGCTTTAGCTTTAATGAATCTTATTTTTCGCCAATCTTCTTTATAAATCTTAGGCTTACGTTCGTGTTTACAGGCTACGTGGGGGAGGGCTGGGGTTAGGGCTGGGGATTGTGGGATGCAGTTACACTGTTCTGAATGTATGCGTGAATCGGGGGGGTCTGATCTCTCCATCCATCCATCCGTCTGTCTGTTGTTCAGCCATCCAGCCATCCGATTTGATTTTTTGGGGAAATACTCGTACTCGTATGATTAAAAGTCTTAAGTGTAAAAGGGCAGCATGAAGTTAGGAGGAGAGACTGTAAAAGGTGGTGAAGGACTGTGGGTAGGGAAGGGAGAGGGGGCTGGGCACGGGGACATCGTCATCGCTCATATCCGTTCATCGATCGATCGATACAATAACAAAATGCATAAAGTTATACTAAACGATTTCTGTATAAAAAATGGGAATCTTAGAATCATAGAGCTTACAATTAAGATTAAAAAGAAAACGAGCAGAGAGCGCTCTCCCCGCCCACACAACGAATGGGGGTGTCGCACCACGCCAGCGTCGAGGGGTCTCACGACATGGGGGAGAGCGCAGAGCTGCTCGTCGTTTGTGTGACTCGGGACTAAGCGTACGAAAGACATTGGACAAAAGCATAGGGGGACAGGGTATGGGGCATCGCATTCGTTCCCAATCTCATGGACATCTCTCTGAAGGTACAAATGAAATGGATATTGCTTCATGGGAACGAGAGAGAGTCCCATCCAAGAGATTGAGAAACCGAGAAACGTGTAACGAGATGCTGCGTTTAACAGATCGTTTTGAAGGTTTGTATGTGTGTGTGTGTGTGTGTGTGTGTGTTTGTGTTTACATAGAAGCGTTCTTTAATAGACAAAACTCAGGATCTCCTGGACGCGTGCTGGCGGCGCTGATGATATGTCCACAACGCCATTGGGCGCCGAGGATCAGAACTTCCGCAGATCGAGCACAAAGACACTGCCGTCGGAGGCACTGGCGCCCACCTTGGTGCCCTTGGAGTTCCAGCAGACCTCAAAGATGCCGCCAGTGCCCTTGTAGCTGTGCACCAGCTGTCCGGTTTGCGTGCTCCAGATGTGCACGCACTTGTCGAAGCTGCCCGAGGCAAGGTGCTTGCCATCGGGACTGAAGGCCACCGAGTAGACGGGCTCCGTGTGCTTGGTGAGCGTGTGGATGCAGCTACCCCGCTCCACGTCCCACAGCCGCACCGTGGAGTCAAAGGAGGCCGAGGCGAGAATAAGATTCGTATTCGGATTGTTTGTGCCCGGCCCCGTGGGCGACCACTTTATCGTGTAGATCTCCTTGGAATGCGCCTGCAGGTCGTGACAGCAGCGATCCCGATTCATGCTCCAGATCTTCAGCGTCATATCGTCCGAGCAGGAGGCCAGCAGCTGACCCTGCGGACACCACTTGATGGCGTTCACCTCGTTGGTGTGGCCCCGGAACGTCTTGATCGGCTCGTTCACGCCCAGCCGACACACGTGTATCCGTTGGTCCGTACTGCACGAGGCGAATGCCTGATTTGTCTGCCAATCGACGTCCAGGGCCGGGGCACTATGGAAGGCGAATTGTTGCGTGCACTGGCCCGTGGAGGCGTCCCATATGATTGTTGTTTTGTCCACGCCGGCGGAGAGAATGTAATTGCCGCTTTTGTTCCACTTGAGGGCGAATATGGGTCCCTTGTGCTGGCCCAGCGTCGAGGCCAGGCGGCCATCTGTCTTCCAGATGCGCGCATAGCCATCGTAGCTGCCTGTGGCCAGCAGCGAGCCATCGCACTGCAATCGAAATGGATTAGGAATCTGCCGAATCTACGACCGGGAAATCCACTTACATTCCAGTCCAGGGATGTGACATCCTTGTTGCTGGGCACCTCGGCTCCGCCCTTCTGGATGCAGTGCCGCAGCACCAGCTGATTGGAATTGGTGTTTGCATCGGACATGTCCCAGATGCGGGCAGTACTGTCGCCAGAGCCACTGGCCAGGAGGTCGCGACTGGGATTCCAGGCACAGATGAACACCTCGCTCTCGTGGCCGCGCAGCACGCGTGCCTTGGACTCGGGTATCTCGATGCTCTGGTCAATCTCCATGGCCTCGACGGGGGCGGGTGTGCCGCCCGTGGACGAGGAGATGGTCCCGCTCGGCGCTGAGCTCTGGGCTGTGGCTGTGCCCGCCGCCACATTGTTGGGCTGGGCTCCCACTCGGATTGTCACGGCTGCTGTGGATGCCTTGGCCCCCGCGGCGGCGGCTCCTCCTCCGGCGGCTGCCGCTGTGTCGGGATTGGAAGTCGAGACAGCGGCTCCGGCCGGTGCGGCACCGCTGGACGGCTGTTCGGCGCTGCTGGAGGTGTTGCTGTTGCCGTTGGTGGATGTGGATGAGGCGGCGTCGTCTGTGCTCGTCGCATTTGCATTGCCCGTATTGTTCACCGCCGTCGAATTGCCGGGCTCACTGGAGTTGGCCTTTTTGTTGGCTCCGCTGGCGGCTGTTGCGGAGGAATCGCCTGCCGCTGGGGCTGTGGCATTGGTGGAGCCGGCAGTGGCTGCCTGGGTTCCATTGCCGTTGCTCGCTCCGCTGGCAGCGTTATTGGCAGTGGCTGCGGCACTCCCACTGGAGTCCACCTCATTGGTGGACTCTGTGGGCGTGGTGGTGCCCGTGGCGCTGCTGGATGACTTTGTGGCTCCCGCATTGACCGTGCCCGGCTCCACCTTGATCTCGGCCTTCACACTGCTGTTGGCATTTGTGGCGGCCGGCGCAGTGGAGTCCACGCCCGGTTTGCCCGGCTCCGTTTTCACCACCGGCTTGGGCGGCTTCACCTCCGGCATCACAGCATCGATCAGGGACAGGCCCTCAATGGGACGCGCCACCTCGCCGTCTTCGCCGACGCTCCACTCCACCTCTGTGTAGAGGAGACCCTTCTGTAGGATGGTAAGCAGCGCGGCCGGCGGCACCAAGGCTCCATTGATGTTGCTCTGCGAGATGTGCGACTCGATGCCAAACACGTAGGAGGAGTGCAGAAAGCCTGCAAAACAAAGAATGAGCAATGACTAAGCGCTGGCAGCGGTGTGCGGTGGGGCAATGGCAAACCCCGACTCACCCGACTCCTGCAGATATCGGTAAACAAGGAAGTTTACCTCGTCGCTGGAAAAACTCATGGCTACCAGGTGCGCACTCTTCCAGTTTTTATTTTTTTGGATGCACTTCAGGTCCTAGGAGCACTCTATTCTATGGACGACTACGACGACGACCAATTATTGTGGCGGTGGCGGCGGCGGCAATGACGAGGGAGATAAGACGGCACTGCGTAACACATGCGTCTGCATTTAGCACGCGCTCTCTGCTCCTCTCCAGGATTCGGATGGGGGGCTGCTTGGTGTGGTGACGTCGCTATGTGGCTTCTGGTTTCGCTGGATCCGGCCTGTTGCTAAAATTCCCGATTCACTTTGCAAGGCAAGAGCATTTTACATATTTTTTTCACAAATAAAAACTACGCATCGCAGCCCTGAAACGCGCAAAAAAATGGCGGAGTTCAGGCATAGGGTCGCGAGAAAGAGGTGGCTCGATGCGGCTTTTTCTTCACTCCACACATGACGTCAGAAATGTAGTGCTGCCAAATAGTGAATATTCAAGTTATTAGCTCAGATGGTTGCATGCAACAAATATGTTGCGATTTTTCTCAAACATAACTACTTCACCTCAATTAAATTTCCAATAAAAATGTTCCAGAAACTCCCATAAAAAACAATTAACATTTGAATGTGTGACGTCACGGCGATTCGTATCTGCAGCCCTGGCTGCTCTTCGTCGGTATTTGCGGTATTTTGGCGTTTTGCCACACTATTCTGGACACTTGCGCCCGCTAGGTGGCTCCAGTCCGAGGCAGAGAGAGAAGAAAAATCAATAGAAATTTTCGTTTTAGTGATTTGCTCTGCATTTGGCAATAGTTTACAACAAAAAAGCAGCAAATATCAAAGTAAATCGCCAACCAGGTGGAGTTACATAAAGCCGAGTAATCGCGACAAACATTCCGCAGCCAACACCCAGAAAAAACGAAGCCGTGAGAGAGCCCAAGCCCGAAACGGAGCCAACTAATACAAAATTCCAGCACAACCAACGCCAGCCAGCCCAGCAACCAAAACCAAAAATTTTTCACTGCGGGCCGCCTCTCATCGGGATCGTGTGTACGTATTTAAGCATAAAAAGTAAGCAGCCAAAGCCCCATGGAAAAACACATACGCCCATTAATGTTTGTTTCGGTTTGTGCCAATAAAACGACTTCGTCATCTCGCGAAGAAAAAAAATGTGAAAAGTGACGTGACGTGAAAGCGAACAAGTGCACAAAGGCAGGCAACAAAGAGCCCCAAAACGGATCAGAAGCTAGAAGCCAGAAGCCGGTGGTTTCGGTGGTCGCAGTTCCCCCAAAATAAATGCAAACGCAAACGTTCTCGGTTCGGGAGTGCAGGCAGGCGATAAAAAGTGCGGTCCCGAGGTCATCTCATCATTGGTGAAGCTCTCTGAGTCTGAATCTTTATCAGTTGTGTTGCTGCTGCTCTGCTGTTGTGGCAGTGCCAAAGTTGCAAGAGTGCTTGCCAAAAGTGCGCGGGGGCGGCATCGACAGCGGGGCGGGCATCATTCCATCTCCCTCTACCCACTTACCACTCGCGGAAAGCCCTCAAATGTCAGGGTTCATATTACGATAAATGATTTGCAAGCAATTCTTTTTTGTTTTTTCGATACACCCCCTCCCTCCCACTGATCAGAGCCCCCTTTCCTAATATGTGACTCTCCAACAGGTCTGGTCTGACGAAGAATTTCTACAGAACGGCGGAACTACACTGAGCGAAAGAAGCGGCTATTTTGTTTGCAAGCAAATAAAGTGCCCCACTCCGTCGTCGTCGTTGTCGCTTTCGTTGTTGTTGCTGCTGTCGTCGAGTTCGAGCCGATAAGAGCGTCTCGAGACTCGGCCGCCTCCCAGGCAGAAATTTCTTGCGCCCCCCAGTTTGCATAAAACCAGCGAAAATTAACAAGCTAACTACAATGGCGCCGGTGCGGGGGGATGGCATGAGAGGCCTGGCAGTGTTTATATCCGATATAAGAAACTGTAAGTAACAAACAACAAAAATATATAAAAATAAACTCTCCTCTCCAGTAAATTGCCTTGCATTTACATTTAATTTATCAGTGAGCAGAGCCAGGCAGGGCAGCAGCCAGGCCAGCTAGCTTTTCTTATCCAAATTCATTCATAGGGGCGGAATCAGCGCCATTTCTTGATCAATTACTGAGAGGAGCAATACACACACATACACATACAGATATATACATATTTTTATTGTGTATGAGTGCAGAGTGCCGACAATTGTTGTTTGTTTGCTCCGTAACTCTGTCCGCATTATCGTCATGCTGCCGTTACTGGTTTCCTCTCTCCACACCACACACAGCATAGGGTCTCCAAGAGTCTCTCCACTTTTGGTGACTGGTACTAATTGGCGCCTATGTGACCACAAAGCGACACACACACAGTGAGAGAGAGCGGAGGAAGAGAGCTTCTGAGAGTGAGAGTCACACACACACACACACACATCAATCACTCTCCATTAATCGATCATATGTCTTCTGATATGGTAGAAAAGAAAGCTGAGCTTACGCCTGCTGCTGCTGCTGCTGCTGCTGAGATTCTCCTTTTATGACCTTGACCCACTTACCTTTCATTTTCTTGCTCCTGTCTGTCTCCAGGTAAAAGCAAAGAAGCGGAGGTCAAACGCATAAACAAGGAGTTGGCCAACATACGAAGCAAATTTAAAGGAGACAAAACTCTGGATGGCTACCAGAAGAAGAAATATGTCTGCAAGCTGCTATTCATCTTTCTGCTGGGCCATGACATTGACTTTGGCCACATGGAGGCGGTCAATCTGCTGTCCTCCAACAAATACTCAGAGAAGCAGATCGTAAGTGGGATGATAACCCCAGAGGATCCCCCCAAAAGAGGCATTCCAGTAATTTTTTTACTTTCTCCATTTTTAGGGATATTTATTCATTTCGGTGCTGGTGAACACAAACAGCGATTTGATCCGCCTCATCATTCAGTCGATCAAGAATGACTTGCAGTCGCGCAATCCGGTGCACGTGAACCTGGCGCTGCAGTGCATCGCCAACATTGGTAGCCGGGACATGGCCGAGTCCTTTTCGAATGAAATACCCAAGCTGCTCGTTTCCGGGGACACCATGGACGTGGTGAAGCAGTCGGCCGCATTGTGCCTGCTGCGGCTGTTCCGTTCCTCGCCCGATATTATACCCGGCGGCGAGTGGACCTCGCGCATCATTCACTTGCTTAATGACCAGCACATGGGCGTGGTGACGGCCGCCACATCGCTGATTGACGCCTTGGTCAAGCGCAATCCGGACGAGTACAAGGGCTGCGTGAATCTGGCCGTGTCGCGGCTCTCGAGGATCGTGACTGCTAGCTACACAGATTTGCAGGATTACACGTACTACTTTGTGCCGGCACCCTGGCTGTCCGTGAAGCTGCTGCGGCTGCTGCAGAACTACAATCCGGTGACCGAGGAGGCGGGCGTTCGGGCACGCCTCAACGAGACCCTCGAGACGATCCTCAACAAGGCGCAGGAGCCGCCCAAGAGCAAGAAGGTGCAGCATTCGAACGCCAAGAATGCCGTCCTGTTTGAGGCCATCAATCTGATCATTCACAGCGACAGCGAGCCCAATCTGCTGGTGCGCGCCTGCAACCAGTTGGGCCAGTTCCTCAGCAATCGGGAGACGAACTTGCGCTACCTGGCCCTCGAGTCGATGTGCCATTTGGCCACCTCGGAGTTCTCCCACGAGGAGGTCAAGAAGCACCAGGAGGTGGTCATACTCTCCATGAAGATGGAGAAGGATGTTTCCGTGCGCCAAATGGCCGTCGATCTGCTGTACGCCATGTGCGATCGCGGCAATGCCGAGGAAATTGTCCAGGAGATGCTCAACTACCTGGAGACGGCCGACTACTCCATACGCGAGGAGATGGTGCTCAAGGTGGCCATTCTTGCCGAGAAATACGCCACGGATTACACCTGGTAAGACCCCGACGCAGAAACTCTGCTGTAGAATCCCTTTCCTAACTCTATCCATTGGCAGGTACGTGGACGTGATCCTCAATCTCATACGCATTGCTGGCGACTATGTGTCGGAGGAGGTCTGGTACCGCGTCATCCAGATCGTCATCAATCGCGAGGAGGTGCAGGGCTATGCGGCCAAGACCGTGTTCGAGGCCCTGCAGGCACCGGCCTGTCACGAGAATATGGTCAAGGTGGGCGGCTACATCCTGGGGGAGTTTGGCAATCTGATCGCCGGAGACTCGCGCTCGGCACCGCTCGTGCAGTTTAAGCTGCTGCACTCCAAGTACCATCTGTGCTCGCCCATGACGCGGGCCCTGCTCCTGTCCACCTACATCAAGTTCATCAATCTGTTCCCGGAGATCCGCACCAACATCCAGGACGTGTTCAGGCAACACAGCAATCTGCGTTCGGCCGACGCGGAGCTGCAGCAGCGTGCCAGCGAGTATCTGCAGCTGAGCATTGTGGCCTCCACGGATGTGCTGGCCACTGTACTCGAGGAGATGCCCTCGTTCCCAGAGCGCGAGAGCTCCATTCTGGCCGTGCTCAAGAAGAAGAAGCCCGGTCGGGTGCCAGAGAACGAGATCCGGGAGTCGAAGAGCCCCGCTCCGACCTCCGGCTCGGTCATCCAGAACAACGTGCACGTGAACAACTCACACAGCAAACTGAACAACAGCAATGCCAACACGGATCTGCTCGGCCTGAGCACGCCGCCGGCCAACAACGTGGGAAGCAATAGCAACAGCACCCTCATCGATGTCCTGGGCGACATATACGGCAGCAACAACAACTCCAGTGCCGTCTACAACACCAAGAAGTTCTTGTTCAAGAACAATGGCGTGCTCTTCGAGAACGAGATGCTGCAGATTGGCGTGAAGAGCGAATTCAGACAGAACCTGGGACGGCTGGGCCTCTTCTATGGCAACAAGACACAGGTGCCCCTCTCGGTAAGTGTCCAACTCTGTCCAGCAGCAATCCCCTCTGCCTGCAGATTTTTATAATAATTTTTGTTTAATTTTCGGCTCGTTTAGAACTTCAATCCCGTGCTGCAATGGTCTGCCGAGGAGACGCTCAAGCTGAACGTACAGATGAAGGGTGTGGAGCCGACCCTGGAGGCCGGCGCACAAATCCAACAGCTGCTCACGGCGGAGTGCATCGAGGACTATGCCGATGCGCCAACCATTGAGATCAGTTTCCGCTACAACGGCACCCAGCAAAAGTTCAGCATTAAGCTGCCGCTGAGCGTGAACAAGTTCTTCGAGCCAACCGAAATGAATGCCGAGTCCTTCTTTGCCCGATGGAAGAACCTAAGCGGGTAACTACACTGCGCCGCCACTCTGCCGACTGAATGATTGCAATGCTTAATATGGATAACTTCTTTTGTAGGGAACAACAGCGATCACAGAAAGTGTTCAAGGCCGCACAGCCGCTGGATCTGCCTGGGGCACGGAATAAGCTGATGGGCTTTGGCATGCAGCTGCTCGATTCGGTGGATCCCAATCCCGATAATATGGTCTGTGCGGGCATTATACACACGCAATCACAGCAGGTGGGCTGCCTGATGCGACTAGAGCCGAATAAGCAGGCACAGGTAAGACCCAAGCCACTTTGACTTGCTGCCAAAACTAATTTGTATTTCTTTGCTTGCTGTTTTTTTATTAGATGTTCCGATTGACTGTGCGAGCCAGCAAGGAGACGGTGACACGAGAGATTTGCGATCTGTTGGCAGATCAGTTTTAAGCCACACAATCATGGGACAGAAGCGTTGTCCGAGGGGGGGAGAAGGAGGAGAGCTACGCTACGGCAAAAACCACTTTACAATGCACAATCCTAATCACCTAGAGAAATATCAAAGCAGCCAGCAGCAGCTGAACGAGATGTCGATGCCCTTTAGTTATGTACGCCGCCGCCACTCCCATGACCGACCTAACTACCTACCAACCACAGCAGCACTTCTCTTCTCTTCACACGTACCTTTTGTCAGTCAGTCTTCTTCTTCAGCAGCAGCAGCAGCAAGAGGGCCTCGACTTTACCTCTTGCTGGCAGTACTCTCTTTTTGTACCCCATGCGTATATTCTTTTTTGTATAATCCACTCCTAAGTCCTATATCTATACCTATACCTATACCTAAACCTAAACCTGTATCCCGAATCACAGAATCCGCATCAGAATTCTTTGTAAATGTTAAGCTCAAAAGTTCATAGTAGGAAAGAAAGAAACGAAAGAGACATAATTAGATTATGTTTAAAAGTGTATGACAAACATTATATATTGTTGCATCTTTTGGAGGCAGTAGCAATTGGATATTATATACCATACTATACACACACACACACACATTATATATAAACTATATATATACATGAACATTCATACAAAAAACCACATACATATACCTAGTATATACGTCGTTGTAATAAAAACAAAACAAAAACAAAAAACAGAAAACAAAAACGATGAAAGATATAAAGCTTGCAGCAGCGGAATTATAAAAGATACATATAAAGAATGCAAATGACAAATATGCAAATCGTTATCTAAATATTTATACATATTGATTATTGCAATTGCATTAACGAAATTTCATGTTTAGTGTTTTTTGATTGAGAGATCCCGATCGCGGATGCAAGAGTAACGGCGGATCAAGGCGGATCAGGTGGATCAGATGGATCATTGGATGGAAATCTCATTAAATAATAGACAAATAATTAGAGGACGAAGAGGCAGATACTTTTTTGATTGAGTAAACCATTGTTGAGCAAAAAAAGATTTAACGAAAATTCGGACACGAAACGAAAATCCAAAAAAGAAACATTCAAAACAAAAAACAAAGCAAAACAAAACAAAACAAACAAAATATTATACATATACTTATAGAAGAATTTTTCGATTGATCCTGTGTGTATTATTTCGTTTCGTATGTGTACCATAGATAACTGATAAACAAAAAAGAAAAACTACATGTTGTGCCGCCTCCGGTACACCCATCCATGGTGGGTGCGTGGCGGGTGCGATTTATATAGCACCAAGTATTAAAAACTAATCCCGATGCAGATACAGCAAGCGAAGCCATAATATCTGTTGCAGTGGCAGAGGCCGAGAAGCAAAGAAGAACAAAGAATTGTAAACTAAATATACATTATATAGATACTGAATACTGAAATACCGATCGATAATGGCAATTGTCAACTGTCGCCCCTCAACCCCACACTTATATCCCCCATACGCCCCCCCGTCCCATATTATGTATACCAACTAGACTCCTCTCAGACTCTCGTTTTCATCTGATTTGCATGCCCTGCGTGGATACCGTGCGTGCGTGTTTTCTATAAAGTGCAATAGTTAAATTGTTACACAAAAATTCCACAACAATTCCATGGAACAACCAACCAACACACACACACACAGACACACACACACACAATCCAACAGACAGACACCACACAGATAAAGCGACTATGAAAACCACAACAACAACAACAACAACCAAAAAAACTACATATAGCAAATGCAGGAATTTATCTGTAAACGTAAACAAATATGTATTTAAATAAATAAATAAATATAAATTGAAACCACTCAGAGAGCAGGGTTCATTGGAATTGGATATGCGCTGGCATGGCTGTGGGAAGTGGCAATAAATATTTTTTGTATGAACTAACCAGAGTCTGAATATACTTATAGAACAGCTCTGAAAATCATAGCGAGCATGTGGAATGAATCAACAACCAAACTTATTTGAAATTCAATTTTTTTTGTATTTCCAATTCTAGGCATGGGCATGAGGACTACTCAGCAACAACTTAAACTAAATAATTATCATATATCCCCATAGGAGCGATAAAAGTGTGGGAATAAATGAGGCTTAGCTCTTAGTTCTCTCTTCCTTTAAAAATTCCCAAACAAATTCATAAAAGTTATCTGACATTATCTAAAATGGATTGTTCATATTTTTGCAATAGACCCCTAGAAATCCCCACAAATTTTGAGCATTAAATACGATCCATTTAGAGCAGATTTAATATCCGAATAATTAGTTAATCAGCAAACAACTTTTGATTGGTTGATTTCTTGTCAACTTTAATGGGGGAGATAAGTATTACGTATTAAAAACGGGATACATATGATCTAAAGTCTAGCTGTAACAATATGTTGGGCGCGCGTCTCATATCATGTTTAGCTTGAATCTCGCATTGATGTTCACCGAACTCAGCTCGGTGACCAGGAACTTGAAGGAGAAGGGAATTTCGATCATGGACACCGAACTGCTGTCCCCGCACAGGCGACACGTCTGCGGCTTGGAGGACAGACCCCCGCGCTCATTCCGCTTCACAATTTGCTGCAGTGGCGACAGAATGGAGCCGCACTTGTGGCACACCAGCGTGTGCGTCTTGTCCGAGTTGTGGAAGAGCCGATCCTGCAGCAGGAAGGCGGCTCCATGGGATATCAGAGCGTCGCGCTCCATCTCTCCGAAACGCACACCACCGCCTCGCTTGCGTCCCTTGATGGGCTGCTGGGTTCGGGCCTCGACGGTGCCCGTGGAGCGCACTTGCCACTTGTCAAAGACCATGTGCCGCAGCCGCTGATAGTGCACCACGCCAAAGAAGATGTCCGCCGTCATCTCGCGCCCGTCCACGCCCGAGTACAGGCGCTCCGTGCCATAGTAGTTGTAGCCGCCGCTCTCCAGCATCTTGCCAAAGTAATCGATGGCCGTGTTCTTCTCCGAGAAGCGGAAGGGCGTGGCATCGTAGACGTCGCCATGGACGGCCGCGCTCTTGCCGGCCATCGTCTCGATCATCATGGCGATTGTCATACGGGAGGGGAAGCCGTGGGGATTGAACACAATGTCGGGTATCATGCCCGATTCCGTGAAGGGCAGATCCTCGGCGGGATACTTCTGCGAGCAGATGCCCTTCTGTCCAGCCCGCGAGGCAAACTTGTCGCCAATTGTGGCCGGACGTGGCACCCTCAGCGTAATGCACACGTTCTTCTTGGGCGCGAGCTCGAAGCTGCCCAACTGCCGGATGCTGTCCACAAAACATTCCTCCTTCTCGTCCATCTTCTCCACCTTGTAGGTGGCCACCTCGCCGTCAAAGTAACAGTACAGGGGGCAGCCGAAGGTGAGCTTGGCGCCGGGATGCGGCAGTCCGTCCGTGTCCAGGTACTTGGCCAGCTCCGGCATGTGCGGATGACGGGCAAAGTAGCTGCTCTTCTTCGGCAGCTGCACGAACTTGGACTTGTAGATGCTGCCGTAGGCAAAGCCCCGCTCGTAGGCGCACTTGTTGATGATCATGGCATCCTCCATGTCGTAGCCGGTGTAGGAGATGACCGCCACAATGGCATTGGTGCCCATGGCAAAGTCGTCCAGCTGAATGTTGTCGTAGTGCACGGGCCGGAAGAGCGGCGTGCCGGGTGTCTGCAGGCGGTACAGCTTATTGGCCGCCTGCTTGGGCCAGTTCAGGCAGGGCGTGCCCATCGTCTGCTTGCCCATCTGACACTGGTACATGTTACGGGGCGACTGGTTGTAGTCCGGCATGGGAATGAGGTTCGCCAGGTTGCTCATGAAGTGCGTCTTCGCCAGCTCCAGGTGGGTGGTGAAGTCGGGATAGATCTCCTTCGGGTCGATGGCTATCTCCATGTACAGCTGCTCCAGGGTGCCGATATACTCGACTTGTTTCCACTTCATGTTCCACACGGGACGCATCATGCGTGCGGGACCCGTGGACAGATAGAGGCCGGGAAACTGGCCGTTCTTCTTGTACGGAATAAAGCCAATTTCCATCATCTGCGGCACCGAGCCGGTTATCTTTTCGTAGCGCAGATCCTCGACTATCTTGCAGGCATCGGACTGGAATATGTGGCCCAGATGCTTGCCATCCAGGAGCACCACGTACAGCTTGGCATCGGGATTCCTTTGGTTAGACAGCGGCAGCATTCCCATTTCTATCAGCTTCGTAGGAATGGCCTGAAACGGAACGGAGGAGGAATGAAATGATGTTCCATTTAAATGGCGGCGCCTCTACTCACCTGCACCAGCTTGGGATCTGGTCGCTTGGATATCTCACAGGTCAGCGTCAAGTGATTGAGCAGACCGCAGGGCGTTCCATCGGGCGTGTGCACGGGACAGATGAAGCCCCAGGCATCGGGCAGCAGTTGGCGGGCCTCTGTGGTGCGCATCGTGGTGAAGTAGGAGCCACGATGGATGGCCCGGAAGTGGGACATGTAGCGCATGCGATTGATGTTCTCGGCCATGATGACCAGGCCGCTGTTCTGCATGAGGCCGAGGCCCGTGTTGCTCGCTATGTTGCCGGTGGCCAGGAAGGATTCAATGGATTTGCCTACGCCGCCAGCCTGGCGCATGGACTGTGTCAGAATGCTGCTGCTGAGGAGGCTGTCCGGCGTGGTGAGCTTCTTCTGGAGCACGCGGCGCACCATGGAGACCCAGTTCTCGATACGCTCGCCCAGATACTTCTGGTACAGATGCCCGGGGAGCAGCACCTCCTGCATCATGGCCGAGTCAACGTTCTCCACCTTGTGCTTGCCCTGGGCGCACTGGAAGAGCTTCTGCACCATGAACACAATCAGCTGGAACTTCTCCTCGTAGGTGTCCAGGTGGACCAAGATGCGTTCCCGCAGAATAAAGTCGGTGACGTCCTCGTCGGGCTGCCACTCGGGCACAACGTTGAAGCGGGAGCGGAAGAGTGTGCCAATGAAGGACCTGCACTGGGCGTGGGTGAAGACACCTTCGTTCTGGACTTCCCTGAGCATGGTTTGGACAGAGGACACGTAGTACTGATCGTCCTCGTAGCCCTGCACCAGCCTCTTGTAGATCTCCTCGTCCGTGTAGTCCATCAAGCACTTGAGGATGAGGCAAACGGGGACGTAGGACAGCCGCTTAACGTGCGAGAACATGAAGCGGGCCGTGCCATTGTTGAGGTAGTGGAGAACGTTGCTGAAGGAGCTCTCATCGTCACGCACCGTCTGCACCATTATGCCCAATTCACTGAAGTTCTGGCCACGATCCTTCCAGGTTGAACGCTTCACGCAGATGGGGTGATTCCGCCTGACGAGCACCAGCATTCGGACAATCTTCTCGTTTCCACGTATCACAAAGATCCCACCCCACTCGGTGTCGTGTTCGCCGTGCTTTACCATCTCCTCCGGCGAGCCCTTGCCCAGGTTGCAGGCCTTTGAACGCAGCATCACCGGCACCTCGCCCAGATCCATGTTGATGGGCGTCTTTTGCAGACCATTGACACTCCATCCCAGTCGCACCGAGCATTGGCCCGAGTAGGAGGCGTGCAGCTGGCGCGAGTCTGTGGGATAAATTTCACGTGTTCGCACGTCAATCACATCCGCCGGCACCTGTGGCTTTGATATCCAAATGTTCTCCACCTTCAGCGAGATGCGCTCTCCGGCCGGGCTCTGCATCTGGACGGGCGGCATGTGCTTGGCCAGAAAGTCCAGACCCACTGTCAGCATCTCATCGAACGAGTCCACATGTGGGGCTCCAAGGTTCGCCAAGTGCTGCAGGGGAGATTCAAATCGGTGAGAGGCGGGGAAGAATACAACAGCAGCCTCTTACCTTGTTCAGCTGTTTGGGTATCGCTTTGAATTCTGGCCGGGAATTTGTCAGCACAGGATTCGTTTTCATTTCCTCCAGCATTTTGCTTGTTTCTTTCAGAATATTAATCAAAAATAATAAAAACCCAAAGCGCAGACCGTTGCACGTGTTGTTTGGGTCGGAGATAAACTGTGAGCGAGCGAACTAGTCTGGTTTGGTTCATTCGGGAACTTGTAATTGTAATTAACAATTTATGAATATTTTCTAACTCAATATTGGTTAGTTTATCATGGGTTTTAAAGTAATTTAAACTAGTTAGTTATACATAAACATTAGAGTTGTTGTAAGACTCTTGTTAACATTGGTTCAATTGATGCTAGATCAGTGAACGGTGCTGCTCATCTCTTTGACGGAACTTGTGTTAGTTCCATGAACGCTGTTGCTTATCACTTTGCAGGGACTGCCAACTTCTTGAAGTAAACAGCTGATTGGGTGCCCGCGTAAAATGATTTGTTTACGCAGTGAATTTAAACTAAATTCGAGTGTGTGGCACAGGAACAAGTCCAATTATCTTGAAGACTATGATGTCCCTGAAGTGACTTACGTTTACTTGGATATCCGGTGAGTCCCGCTGCTCATTTGTATGTACTGCTTTGCAGTCATGTCTACGGAAATGACTCTACTTCTGCCGGATGTGTTGTCAACGTGTTGCTTTCTCTAATGAAGTTGCTTTGCTTCATTGTTGCCATTGTGACCGACCGGCTCCGGCTTCTTTGGCTGCTGTTTGCAAGAATTGTCAGCCGCAAAATATGCGCAAGCTTGTTGCATTATTAATGCATGATTCCTGCTGACTTCTTCGCATAGAAATGCTTCACAAATGAGACAGCAACGACACGGACTGACAATGAAACATGGTCTGGTTGGAGAAAGTAGAGAGCGGTCTTATCCCTGCTCAAACGGGTTTCCTATGCTACAAGATGCCTGCAGCAATGCTCTACATTGTCCTGCAGGCTCGGATTAACTTTGACTTTCTGGAGAAAGTTGCTCTAATTAACCGCAGGGGCCACCAGAGACACCAGATGACATCGCCTCATATGGGGGGCGGGCGGGCGGCTGGCTGTCAGGATAATGAAGCTGAAACTTCCTTTTTGGTTATTAACTCGGCCGGAGCCAAAGGAAAACGGCAGCCAGCAACTTGAGAAAGACACGAAACAACAAGAAAAACAAGGAGTTGCAGCAGCAGCAGTAGCAGCAGCAGCAGGAAGAGGAGGAGGAGGAGGAGGAAGAGGACGTTCAATCTGAGCCCAGTAGTCGGTTCGGTTTATTATTCCATTATAATGAACACAATGCACATTTTCTTGGAACTTTTTCTTGCCGGCGCTCTGCTCTGGCAGTGTGTCCTTGGCTGCTTTGGGTCCTTTCGTTGCTACTTTCGTTGCACATTTGCGTGGTGCAATCTCTGTGAAAGTTGGCGCTGTGTTTGTTGTTTCGTGTGTGCTGCGTGCGTGTGGGTGTGTGTTGGCGTGGCTGTGCACAACTTTTGCCATGCGCTTCCAAGTTTTTAGCCGGATTTTTTTTTTTTGCTCCTTTCTGGCGCTTTGTCTGCGCTGACGACACCGGACCGCGGACAGGCCGGGAGCAGCCGGAGAGAGGAGAGGAGCAACATGGCAAATTGCATTGTTGATTTTCATTTTCAAGCCTGAGCTCCGCTTCTCATTCAGTGGCAGTGTGGCACCCTGGTCACCCTGTCACCCTCGCACTGGCGACACTTTGCCAAATGTGTGCTTCCTCCGCCTCCTGCCCCGCACTCCACCACTTGGCTAGGCTAGGGTGCTGTTCCCCCATCCTTTGGTTCCGTTCGCTTTGGAGTCATTGCTGCGTGTTTCCCACTTTTCAAATGTGAACGCAAAAACGGCATAGCCAGCGCAAAAATCAGCTGCAAAATGCATTTTCATTTGCAAGTTTTTCGCAAAAAAAGTTTGCTTAGCAGGCAAAGGGAAGCAGAAGCACTGCACTGCCACGCACTCTTCAGAATCATCATCAATTGTTTAATCGAGCCCCAGGGGATAAATACTCGTGCTCTTTTGCGAAAATAAAAGCAGCTGACAAAAGTTGGTGGAGTACTTACCAATCGTTGGCAATGGGATTCAAATATGTATGTATGTATTTGCACATAAAGATTGATTGTTTTGGGACTATTTTATTCAGTCGCAGCACGCTTAACTCTGCAAGACAGAGATTGCACCGAGACGCAATAACACAACGATTAAGTTTTGCTTGTGTTGGTGGTTTTTCTTGGTACAGCCACTAACCATACAGTATATACAGTATATACTGTATGGTTAGTGGTACAGCTGATTCAAAGTATGAAAATTCTCTGCCGCTGCAAATCAAAATTAGAGCATATATTTCTCTCGGTCACACTGCAGGCTTTTCTGTTGGTGAACTTTTTGCATTTGTGTGTGGCAGAACTAGTTCATTCGGGCGAACTGCCACCCTTCCAGCTAGACCTGTCAAGGTGTGAAATATTTGTGAGCGATAAGTAAAATCAATCGTGTGTAGTCAAATTAAAATAAAACCCGAAAAGAGCATTTTTGCTAATTAAAAGGTTTGTCAAATAATTACAAGGTAAATCGCAACACCAGAAAAATATTCGTAGGTGCTTTTAATGTGCGTGTATGTGTGTGATCTAGTTAGCTTTGTGATTTTTCCAGAATTGGTTCAAGTTCACTCTGATTTGTTTTTGCAGCTAGACGTGTCAGTGTGAAAATTATTTTGCCGGAGAAAAAAATTAAATTTCAATTTGGATTTAGGAAAAAGCATTTTCTGCTGCACAACGATTACAACAATTGGTGAACTACAAGGTGGCGAATTACAAGGTAAATATGCATTTTCTGCTGCAAAACGTTTAATCAAATAAGTGCAAGCTAAGAATATGTCCCAAAACCAATCGCATGTTTTACTCCAACATTTTAACTTCTTTTAGTTAATTTTGTATTCTCTGTTAAATCAGTCGCATAAAAGCGTCCCTATTGGTGTGTCTTTTCGTGAATTTTTTTTTGCTTAGTGCCTTTATATACATACATACATATGTACATATGCACATGCATATGTTTGTATGTCATATGTAGAGACACAAAAAAAAGAGATCTAGTTAACTGTGTGATTTTTCAAGATGGCGAATGGATTCAAGTTAATTCTGATTTGTTTTTACAGCTAGACGTGTCAGTGTGAAAATAATTTTTCAGGAGAAAAAAAATTTCAATTTCAATTTGGATTTTGTACTGGAAAAAGCGTTTTCTGCTGCAAAACGTTTACAAAAATTGGTGAACTACAAAGTGGTGAATATGCATTTTCTGCTGCAAAACGTTTAGTCAAATAATTTGCAAGCTAAAAACAAGTCCCAAAACCAATCGCCAATACAAAAAAAAAGCACCAATTTCAACATTTTAAACTCTTTTGCAAAACTTTTGTGTTCTTTGGTAAAAAAAAAAAACAGTTGCATAAAAGTGTCAGTATTGGCGTGTTTTCTCTTTTCGTAAATTTTTTTTTGTGCCCACACATATACATACATATTCATACATACATATGTAAGCATGTTGAAAAAAAAGAGATCTAGTTAACTGTGTGATTTTTCAAGATCTCGAATTGATTCAAGTTCATTCTGATTTTCATTACAGCTAGAGACGTGTCAGTGTGAAAATTATTTTGCCAAATCTATTTAAATTTGGAATAAGTACTGGAAAAAGAAACATTTACTGCTGCACATTGATTAAATAATTACAAGGTAAATATGTCCTAAAGCAAAACGCATATTTTACTCCAACATTTTATAATCTTTTGGTGCAATTGTTTTTTTTTTTCTAAATCAATTGCTTATAGACGTCAGTATTGGTGGAATATATCCGAATTTTCTGTAAAACTAATACACAACTTAAAAAAAGTAATTAAAAGGTATGTCCCACCAACCAGAAAATATTTTAGTGACATTTAAGCTTTTTTTGTTTTTTTTTTTTTTTTTTTTCAGAAAAAGAAACCGGCTTAGAATATGTCTGGAATAGCAGCTATACGTTTGTCCGAGGAACGTAAGGCCTGGCGCAAGGACCATCCTTTCGGATTCGTTGCTCGTCCCGCCAAGAATCCCGATGGCACCCTCAACTTGAAGATTTGGGAGTGCGCCATTCCCGGAAAGAAGGGCACCGACTGGGCGGGTGGCCTCTACAAGCTACGCATGACTTTCAAGGATGAGTATCCGAGCACTCCGCCGAAATGCAAATTCGAGCCACCCCTCTTCCATCCCAACGTGTATCCGTCGGGCACTGTCTGCCTCTCGCTGCTGGATGAGGAGAAGGACTGGCGTCCATCCATTACCATTAAGCAGGTGCTAATGGGCATTCAGGATTTGCTGGACTCGCCCAACATCAAAGACCCAGCCCAGGCCGAGGCCTATACTGTCTATCTGGAAAACCGCCAGAATTACAAGGCGCGCGTCATCGCCCAGGCCCGTGACATGGCTCCTGCCGTGGAGCCTGCCAATAAAACTGACAAGTAATACACAAACAAAATCAAAGAGAATCATGAATGATAGGAATCATGATTCATGCAATTTAAATGGAATTATAGTTTCCGTTTAAATTCTAAACAATAATTTTAATATTTAAGCTTTGTGGGCCACTGATTGAAGCAACACACAACACACAATAAACATTCCAATTTCCAATCAGAAAATAAACCCTAAATATTGTTATCAGCTAAGGAGCAATGACCTTGTAGCCTCTTCGCATCGAATCCATCTGTGCAGAGCCCTTGGCTATGATCTTCATTGTCATGCTGGCTGTCATGGCGATGTGGCAACTGTTTTTGCTTAAAATTGTTCCTGTTAGTCATAATCTTTTGATTGTGACGCGTCTGTCTAAATTTAAACACCTTCATGTGACATATTTTCCCAATTAAAATGCATCTAAACGGAGCGCATAACATAGGCACAATAGTTAGGGAATTCGAGGAAGAGAGAGAGAGCATTCTCTCATGAAGATAGTTTTTCCGCCCAAGAACAAAACATTCGTTGGAGCATTTTCCGAGTGCGGCGAGAGAGAGAGAGAGAGATCTCTTTGTTGGTTGTTTAAAAATAGAAAAAATCTATTCGATGTTTTGCTCAGTTTTAAGCGAGAAGCCAAAGCGAAAAGTTCCGTTCGACGCGTCGCGCAACGGCTAGAAATTAGATTTCGAGAAATTTTCCAACGCCTCGCAAGAGTCCCCCCCACTACATATAGATTTTTTCTTGAACCATATGTATACTAGATATTTACTTTAAAATCGGATAAACTGATTCGGTTCGTGTAACTTTCAGTTGTTGGGTAAAGTTGAAAGCGCTACAGTCAGCGTGTCCAGTAGAATCTCACTCGAAAGTTTCTGCTTGGTGCGTTGGAAAAAAAAGTAAAAGTCAATAAGAAAATTGCGAAATCGAAAGATCGAAGCAGCAGACACAACACCTCCCATACTATATCTGTATCTGTGTCTGTGCATCGGTGTGTACCTATATCTGTTCGTCGGTGGATCGGTGAGAGGGCGGGGCAGCCTCTTTGTATCCGGCTGCTCTTCGGTTGCTTCTGCAGAGGCAAAGTCGCATTAAAGTGAATCGTAAATAACACGCCTGCCAGGCCAAGAACATAAGTAAACACAACAGAACGTTCGCATACCAGAGTCTTTGGGTTGTTGGGGCCTTTGTTCTCGGGCATATTATGGGAAATGCAGAGTCCACACCGCCTGCAGATGAGTCGCAGGTGCAGCAGCAGCCGCAGCAACGGCAACAACGAGTGGGAGGAGCAGCTGCGCCACCGGATGACGAGCCCTGGTGGAATGACATCGAGCACGAGAATTTAATTCTGCAACAGGCCCCCTCGAATGCGGCCGCACCAATGCCAATGCCAACGAAAGCTGTGCAGGCTGCGGATGTACCACTGAAAATAGCAGACGAAAAGGAACCAATTGGTGGGGTGGTGCAGGAAAAACCCATTGTCATGGACAGCAAGGAGGAGTCCCCGAAGCGAGAGCAAACCCTGGAGGAATTCAGGGAGGAGCTGCGCACCAAAAGGGAGGCTCGCCTCACTGCTGTGCAGGATCTGCGCGATGAGATCAACAGCCTGCGGAGAGATCTGGCCAGGGAACAGGCAGATAATCGACGTTTGAGAAAGGATCAGGGCGAGGAGGAGGAGAAGCCACAGGAGCAGGAGCCGCAAGAGGAGCCACTAGAACAGCGCAAGGAGCAGCAGCAGCCAGCGATCGATCCGGACGATGAGAATCCCTCGAGTCGCAGTCGCCATGCCAACATAGAGCTGGCCAACGCTCAATTGGCACTCCAACAGGCCAATGCCGAGAATCTGTCGCTGCGCGGCGAAGTGGAGGTGGTGCAGCGTCAGGTGGGCACCCTCAAGGAGGTGATCTCCTGCTGCAAGCAGATGCTCAGCGTCAAAGAGGAGCAGTGTGCACAGGTGAGTGCTCAGCACTGGAATATTTCAGCTAAAATCGATGCTAACTTTCTTTGTATTTCCGATCCACAGCTCAAGATGAAACTGGAGCAGATCGAGAACTCGTTCAGCGAGCGGGAGATGAAGATCATGTCGAACAATCTGCGGCAGGAGTACGAGCGCCAGCTGGTCAACATTCGGCAGTTGCGGCAGCTCTACGAGGAGCGACAGCGTGTGGCCGCCGCCGAGTACGAGAATCTGCAGCGTCTCATCTCCATCAAGAAGGACGAACTCATCGCCGAGCAGGAGAAGTAGGTTTCTAGCAGCCCCCAAAAGCAGTTCTCTTTACTCATTCATTAATCTTCCTTCGGACAGAACCAAGAACTTTGAGGAGCGCAATCAGACGCTGCTGAAAGAAGTGGAAACGGCCAACGAGGAACTGTCCAAGCTGCGCGAGGAATGCGGCGAGCTAAAGTACGAGAAGCGCACGCTCAACGAGCAGGTGGGAGCCGTCAATATGGTAAGCGAGGATTGGCCCCAAAAAGTGTGAGGATTAAATCAAATTTACTTGCTTTTGCAGCTCTTCAGCCAGCTCATTATGGGCTTCAATGGCAAGAGCAATATGGACATTGATCGCCTGAATCAAATGCTCGAGGAGAATCGCCAGCTGCTCAATCAGATGACCCAGGCGGAGGGCAGCTGCAGCGATGGCGCCACCCTGCCCAAGCTGCTCTTTGAGCTGGTGGAGGAGGCCACCGGTTCGGGGGGCTCTGGCGAGGACTCTGACAAGAGTCGCAGTGCAACGCCAACACCCCACGTTCAGGCTCTGGCTGTGGCTGTGGCTGAGGCTGAGGCTGACACTGCTGCTGATGGCGTGGACGTGGACATGGACATGCCCGACTGTGTCCAGCCGGTGGGGAAAGAACACAGTGGCAAGCGAAGGAGTGGATCTGCGGGTGCTGTTGCGGCTTCCTTAAAATGCCATGAGCCCGAAATTATGGGCAAAGTTGCCTCGGCCCAAGAAATCATTGGCAACTTGCCAAAAGTTTGGAAAGTGTTGATGGAGCTCTTGAGTCACCACAAAATCGAGCGCGTGCAGTTCGCCGAGGAGCTGTCCCTGGCCAGTGCGCCCAGGGGCATTACTGGCGCCAATGCTGCAGCTGCTGCTGCCCCAGGGGAGGGCCACAAAGCGGAGGCGGCAGCGTTGGTGGTTAGTGGCAAGCCAGCGGAGCTAAGCGTCAGCAAGACCTACATCAAACTGAAGGTGAGTCCTGCTTTTCCTACTCCTCCTCGTGCACTCTCTCGCTCTCTCTCTCTCTCTGTTGGAGTGCTGCGGACAATCGGGCTTGTTAGTTGTCGCATCCGGTTTGCTGATGAAGTGCAGCAGCGGCAGCAGCAGCAGCAGCCTGTCCGTGTCCGTGTCCGAGGCTCTCTGTCTGTGGCTGTTGCAAAGTTTTGCATTATTCACTTAAGCGCTTTATTTAGTGTGGAGTGCAGACCGAGGCCGAGGCCCAGGCCAAGGACGAGCCTGCTTCATTATTGCTGACGTACTGCCAAGCCGAGTCGAGTCCGAGCATCGATGTGGCAGAGGGATGCGGCTGTGGGGCGTTCCGTTGTTGTGCACATAATTGAATTTATCGGTCAGTTTTACTGGGGCTGGGGCTGGGGCTGGGTTCTGGGGCACAAAACATGTTGCATATTTTTGGGAAATTCATTTAACTGGAAAGTTCTCCCCGACTCTGTCGAGCACTTAAAAACTTCTCAATCTAATCTCTATCCCTAACTCTCTCTCTCTCTCTCTCGTTTAGGACCTCATACTGGAAAAGAAGTCCCTAGTGAAGGAAACGAACCGCTTGAAGACCCTCAACAGTCATCTGGACTACCGCTTGAACGAGCAGGAGAAGCGCCTGAGCGCCGTCAGTCTGGAGCTTACGAAGACGTGGCATCTGGTGGGCAAGATGCAGCGCCAGCACCGGCAGCTGCACACCCAGGAGCAGATCCTGCGCTACCAGCTGCAGCAGAAGCGTCGCCTGCTCAGCGAGCTGAAGGACGAGCTGGAGTACTGCCGCCGGAAGTGGGCGGCGGCCAGGGCCAAGAACGAGGAGACCCAAGAGCAGTGCGATGACTGGCGGCGCGAGTTTGCGCGCCGCAAGCTGGAGGATGCCAACCACTCGGCGGAGAGCGGATATAGCGACTCGGGACCGCAGTCGGACGAGGAGCGGGACACCGCAAGGGCAGTGGAACCAGCCGGGGCAGGAGCAGGAGCAGAGCCTGAGGCTGTGACGGCGCCCTCGACTTCTGGCACTTGTCGCAGGAAGCACTTGAGGGATCAGTTCGAGCACACGCGCAAGATCAAGCGGATGCAGAGTACCTCGCCGGGACGCCAGGCGGCCACGGCCACGGCCGCTGCTCTGGCCTGCTCCGGCTCGGCGGAAGACGAGGGCGAGGAGATTGTGCTCCGCTGGAACAGTGCCCCACCCACCTGCGGCTGGCGTGGGGAGACCATGGAAAACACATTGGAGGATGACGAGGACCAGCTGGACGGGGCTGAGGGCTCGGGCTCGGGCTCACGCGGAGCCATTCCCAAGATTCCGCACAGCTCGCGCAGCAGACAGCGTGGCCAGGCGGAGGATGCCTCCAGCTCGGGCACGGCGAGTCGCATCCAGAAGCTGGAGGAGCAGTGCAAATCGCTCATCCAGCAGGTGCTGGAAACCTCCGACAACCGCGAACGTCTCGAGGTGCAGCTGTGCCGCTTCCAGGACGAGGTCTCGCCCGCCCAGCATGCCGTGCCCCTCGATGAGTTCATCAACAACAAGCGCCTGGAGAGGATGACGCGCGCCAGCTCCGCACCGGCCACGGGCAGCCTCACGCCGCGCGAGGAGGAGTACACGCGAAAGCGATCCGAGCGACTGGGCCGCTTGGAGGAGGAGTCGCGCCAGCTGATGTCGCGCATCCGGCGTACCACGGATCGGGGCCACTACCTGAAGAAGTCCCTGGATCGCATCAGACGCGCACCCAGTCGGGAAGCCAGCTTCGAGAGCAACACCGAAGAGGAGACTGCTCCAACTGCGGCCAAAACGGCGGAGGCATCCCCTCTGACCGCCGACGAGGAGGCCTACACATCGCGCCGGGCCGCCCGCCTTCAGCGTTTGGAACTGGAGAGCCAGCAGCTGCTCGCACAGCTCTCAAAGAACTCGGAGCGCAGCGAGGGTCTGGCCAGCAAATTGGACACACTCCACGAGCGACAGCAGCAGCCGCAACCGCAGCCGCAGCCCACGGCTGCAGCCATCTCGCAGACTGTGGAACAGCGACTGGAGGACATCGAGCGGGTGTCTGCGAATCGCGCCGAACGTCTCCGCTTGATGGAGGCGCAGGGCAACGAGCTGATTGCACGCCTGAGCAACACCTCGGAGCGGGGCACGGCCATGATCAATCGCATGGCCGAGCGGGAAGCCAGCAGGCGGCAAGAGGCCGAACTGGTGGAGCAGACCCTGCCCACGGAGGAGGCGACCAGTGCCGTCAGGAACGTAGCCAGCACGCGGATTGTGGCCGAGCAGGAGGCAGCCGAATCCGAGGGTGCCGCCTGCTGTGTCACCGTCACCACAACCGCCACGCAGCAGGCCGTCCAGCAGCAGTCCACGGGCGCCATACCCAAGAAGCCGCCGAGGAGCACGCCCCAGGCTCAGCTGTGCGCCGCCTCTCGCCAGGACGTTGCGGCCAAGAAGCGTGGCTCCGGCAAGGAATCGGCAGCGGAACAGGCGGCAAGCGTTGCTCCCGAAACTCTCGAGGATATGGTGCAGCGACTGCGATCCTTGCCATTCCCGGCGGAGAAGCTCGCCCAAAATGAGGGAGCAGCGGACACTAGGGACGAAGGGAATGCGGAGGAAGCTGAGGAGAGGAAGGCGGAGGACGACAATGTGCAGGAGAAGGATGCAAACTGAAAGATGTTCACTAGACTTTACGATTACGAATACTCGCTCTGGCCCGGGTAACATATCCACCCCTCCGGTCACAATCTACAAATATCCACACATATATTGTTAATCTCCGAATCAATAAAGATGTTTATAGTCTCAAATATAGTCTCTCAAACGATTTTCCTTCTCCGGTGCTCTGACGCCTACGCTTCGGCTACTGGTGGGAAGAGTTGTGCCTCTTTTTTCGCTTCATGTTGGTGAACCGCACATAGATCTTGCCACGCCGCTCGGTGCGGTAATGGTGCATCTGTTCCTTGGGAAAGAGCTGCATGATCTCCCGCTCCAGTTGGTGGCTGTGCGTCAGCGTCAGGTGCAGATCATTGTCTATATAGTGGCTGCAAATCAGCTGGATGAGCAGCTGCCGCTGCACTCCATCCAGGGGCTTCTCTTGCTGACCCATGATATCGAGCAGCGACTGGCCTCTTAGGCTGTGGCCCTTTAGAATGCCGAGCACTGTAACCGCACCTGGCTTCTGCTTCTCCTCGCCGCCACCCTGCTCCTTCGCGTTGGTGTCTAGCTCCAACTCAGGTTGACTGGTGGATTGTAGCAGTAGCTCAGCCAGCAGATTACCGGACTTGCCACTGTCCCCGGCGCAGTCAGACTGGGGTTGGCTTGTCGCGCACCGACAACCCTGGCAGTGCGTCTCTGCATGAACGCCCTGGAGGGGAACGTTCAGGCCTTGGCGCCAGCGCTCCAGGTGATGCTCGAAGCGTATGCACGTGCCCAAACGAAAGCTGCTCAGAAGTTTGGTCAGGTGGTGTCGCTTCATCATCTGCAGTTCGTCCACGTTGATGGCTGCCTCTGTAAATAGCGAAATAGGCGAACAAATTGCATTGCAGTCAAAGTCGTTTTTCTGCTCTTGCTCTCCAGCTCATATTTCCACAGTGAGTCACCTTGCAAGTGTGGGAGGAGCTCGGCAGCATCCCATGACTGGAGCAGTTCGCGCAACTCCTCGTAATCTTGCTCCTTGGCCATTTCCAGGCTATTGAAAGAGTCGAACGCTTCCAAGACAAAAAACGTAAACCATAAAGCAATGAACGAATTTTTGTTGCTAACTTAGGCCAGGCCTCTGCTTTGAATTCAATGGAAGCGAACAATTAGAAACACGCACATGCAGCGACAGCCATCATTTCTCTTCTCTCCCTCTTACATGAGAGCGAGAGAAATATATGCTGCTTGGATGTGCCAATTAGAGATGGGCATGTACGGAAACTAATCGGCACGAGCCAGCACGGCACGGAAACGGTACAATATTTTTATTTATTTTCAACTTTCAAAAAGGTATTATAATTCCTTCTAAAAACGACGCCACTATATATTCAATAACGATGAGTTATAGGGACGAGAGTTTAATTGATCAATGAAATGTGATTTGTTTGTGTGTGATTTTGTAGTAGTTCCTACGAATAATATTACGGAAAAACGTATCGTTTGTTCCTTGAGCGAATAATGACGATAAGTCGTGTTTTTTTCGAGCCGATTGGGAAGCAAAAATGGTCCATCTCTAGTTCTGACATTATCTAAAAAGCTTGCAGAGTGAGCGAGAGGGAAATATGCCCTAGTTTTTATTTGCAGCGGCAGAGAATTTCATACTTTCAATCAGCTGTTCTCGTGTTGGTGTACCAATACCAATGCACTCACACTAGCAGACAGACGGTGCTCGACGTCAAATGGTATAAAAGGCGGTGCCATTTGGCCCATTCCTGTTTTTCCGATTCAACGCCTAACATTACATTATTAAGTTTTTTGAAAACTTTTATTTCTCGTAATAAATAGGGAAATATGTCAACGCCCGTGCGGCCATAGCCAGGCATTATCTGATGCCTGTCTGAGAAATTCTCGGCCAAAATTCTATCGTCATCCAAGTCCCGATGTCTGGATGGCTAGAACATCCTTCTCAACCTGCTTTCGATTTAAATGTTTAAAGGTACGCTGGCGGTGTAATATACACTCTGTGCACTGATTGGACCCTTTTTCATCAGACAACTATTGATGCGAAGGACTTACTAAAAACCATCTTTTCCTTTAATGAATATTTCTATTGTGTCGGGGAGTGGAAAATTATTACGTATTCCGAGATCCCCGCAAGAACCGAATGTCTTATTACAAAAAATACACCCACCGAATAGTGGCGGACGCCAGCATTCATGCCTGCGAGACGCCCAACCCCACCCCCACACCGCGCCGCTGGTCACCCACAGCATAAAGAGCGGACCACCGGAACGTGCATGCTAAATACCCTGAACCTGTGAGCATGTATTGGACTGTAACCTCAAGCCATACGGAGGGAAACATACAAGAAAACCATATTTCACTTAAAATGAATATTTCTATGCTGGCGGTGGCAATGTATGTACGCCCTCCCCCCCCACCGCATTCAAATTCGGGCAAAAATTGATTACATTTCAACACTGTTACACTTTCTATGATTAGTGTATGTTAGCACACTAGTTATTTTGACGTTATTTTTTGGGTTGGTTTGACAGGTTGTGGAATATTAATTTACAAGCTACATCTATCAATAAATTGGATGTGAAAAAATGTTGCAACATTTATTAAATTCAAGCGAAACACAGCTAGTGTTGCGAAGGCGATAAATTGTCCTATCTGAATGAAGGGGTTATTACTACCTATGAAAGTATTTCTCTTCTTAATTTTTCTGTGTACTCGAAGCGTTGCCACTTGGGTAGAACAGCGAAGAGGAAAGATGGTGTTGATATTTGCGATACCTTCCGATGGGTTATGTTAGGCTGCCTGCTCCTGCTGTTCCGTAGTTCACTCGAGATGCCCCCAAAGCACACGACACGGTTTCGCTGGGATTTCTGGGACTTATGTGCTCTGCTCCCTTAGACACGCACGCAGCCATGACATTGCCAGCCCCTGAGACTGCCACTGCCACGGCTACTGTCGCTGACATGCTTGGGTGGGTGGGCGATGTTGCAGGTTGCCAGTTGCCAGTGGGGGTGGCAAGGACGTGGCCACTGGGTGGCAATGGGCGGCGCATTATCTCTGCATATGTATGCAAGTAAAAATTCCAGCGTCCGCTAACAAGTTGGTGACTTCGTCATCGTCATCGTCAGCTTCATCCTCATTCTCGACCTCGCTGCTTTATGCAAATGCGATGCCCCGGGCACACTCTCCCGATGCAGCCCATCCCACGGAAGAGCAGTGGGCCAAGGGAGGGAGGGCTCTCTCCGTTCAGGCATAAAGACAACATCGCCTCATATGCTTTTAAAGCGAACAGAGATTGTACATTAACTTATCCGCTCGCTGTCTTTCGATTCCTTTCCTTTCCGGGCAACAGCATCACCAACATTCGCCGTGCACAGAGGAAGGGTCTCTTAAAACCCTTTCCCATACTCTTCTGATAGTTCCTTATAACAGAGTTCTGTTATCTAAGCCTGGAGCAGCTTTCAAGCATCCCCGAAACGATCCCTAGCATTCATTAGTGTGTTGTTCTTGCATATTCTACGCTTGTTTATAAATACGATTCGCTTACTGCACGCTTCGCACCTATAAAATTGGAGTTTATCAAAAAATATTCAAGGAATTAACGTTTTACTCATCAGTTGTCCGTGCTTTGCCCTTCAAAAATCTTTCCATGTACCCACATGTGGTTGTTACAATCGCCAATCGCCGATATTTAAGTGATTCGGCAACGGCGCGCCTCGAATTATTCGACTAATCGATGAGACACATCTCCCAATTTCCCATCTCTATAAGATTTAAAATTTAAGATTATGCCAAAGAAAGCTTATCTTAATTATTTTATTTATTAATTGGAAAAACTTGGAAAAAGGAAATGGAAAGAATTGAATTTTTGTATGAGTAGGTACAATTCGGAATTTCTCTGAATGGGACAGTCGTAATGCAAGTGATAGTAGAAAGCTAAGATAAGATATAACGGATTTTTTAAATTTGTATACCATTATGACACACCTTTTCCCTATAACTGGTGCTAAGGTCAATTTTGGACAACTGCTCGTTTTCGTTTATGTTTATTATATGTAAGATATAGGTATAGAAGGATTTTTTGGAATAACTTCTCTTAAGAATCATATTTTTTGTATAAGAGATAATAATAAAAAAACAGGACCAGGTTAGGTTAAGGTTAGGTTAAGGCGGCTGTCGGGATCGTCAGAAACCCGACACACCTAGGCCGGCTGAAAAAAATTGTATTTTATTGTCGTAAAACAATAGTAATTTTTAAAAATTTAATAAAAATTTAAAATTTGATTTGCTGTAAATACTTATATTTTTCCCGGCCGTATCGGCAATACCAATACCATTGCAAATGGTAAAAAATCGCAGCTGTGCACGGCACAGTGGGCCATAAATGTTTTAATGCTATATTATATTATATTGAGTATATTATTTAGTATAATATACATATAATATATATATAATATACATATAATACATAATATAATATGTATAGTATTTATATAATATAATAATAAAATTGATATTATAGTTATATATATTATATATAGCAATTGATCCATGTTTTCTGCGTCACTATAACGGTGTCTCGGTGAACCTCCTGTGCCGCCACCTGAGCTGGGATTACCTTGGGATTAGAAACCGACTTTGGTATCGGTGCTTGGATTTTGCTCTTCGGCGGCCTGCGTTTCAGTGCCGAGGACTGGCAGGACACCGCCTATCCGTCGGTGCTGGAGGACTTGGATGATGGACGGATCCAGGCTGGTAGAGGGGAAGTTTACTTTCTCGACGGCACCCTTCATCACTCTGGACCGCCTGAACAGCACGAACCTGGAGCTGTGTGGTCGAACAACAACCGAAAACAACCCCTCTGTAACGTAGCATTCTGTTGTGTGTTCATTATGCTGCTTTACAGGGCTGGTTCGAAGCCACCCCTGCAGAAATGAATTCATTCCAATGAATCGAACCAATGGTTCGATGGGGCAAGGAATCCTAACAGAGCTGTTAAAGCACAGCCAACGAGTTTGTTCCCCACAAGTTTGAAAGTTGGGATGTTCGAAGGGGCAGCTACCAACGAGCTGCTGGCCTGGAGAATTACAGAATAAGTTATCTTAACAGGCGACATTTAATGAGCCGTTCCATCTTTTTGCGTTATAGCTATTAAATGATACGATTACGTTAGTAAATTAACTAAAACAAACGAAATTAACTAGCTAGGTAACAACTAAATCGTCAAAAGTTTCCATCTGCATTTTTCAAACAACTAAATTCCTTACACTAACAGCGTATAAGAGTGACTACCGCCATCTAGGGGAATTTCAGTGAACCCACTTGAACCAATGAAAATGCTTGGAACTTTGGTACATTTGAACGAAATTCATCGATTTATGGGTACAAAATGTAAAACAAAAAGTTTCAAACGGAAACGGTTGGTAATTAATTTATTGCTTAATTTTGTTTGGTAATTTGGTATTCCATTTGGCTTAAAAAGTACGTCCGATAATACTTCAATAGGCTCTGGCCACAGTAGTCACTCTCGCTACAATGACGGGCACAGATTTAGATTAAATGCAGCCCCAAATATCTTGTTCTAATTGCTGTGGGACGACGTGGCCTACCTTCCCTGGACACGCCCTCAAGAGCAAGAAGGATGGGTAGCTGAAAAAGTGTACAAATTGTTGCACCGTTAACTACCCCGTGCCGGTCGTCCGCTTGGCCTGCTCCTTGGAGGGGAAACGTCAAATTAATAAACCGCCGGACGTACCACAAGCTGTGAAAAAGCAATCTTTGGTCTGCATGCCACAGATCCAGATCCAGATGCAGATGCAGATGCAGAACTTCAGACCTCATCCTCAGAGTGTTTTCCAGCTTGTTAGCATCCAAGAAGCGAGGATACACCACCACCGCCGATGCCCGCCTCCGCCTCTTGCGTAGGGCCAAAGATTTATGCAGTTCGCGCGCGGATGTCAGAGAGAGAGAGAGGATGGGGGGAGATCCATGGAAGCGCCGTTCGGAACGGAGCTCAACTTCACTCCAGTCGACTGGAGAGACTCGCGAGACGATCTGCAGAGACCCGAAGAGTAATCTAATTTATTAAAAGTGCAGCCCCTGCAGCGGGCAAGAGGCCTCGTTTTGGTTTTGATTTACGCTGAAATAAATTAAAATATCATAAAAAGGAAATTAAAATTCACTCGCACAACAAAAGCGCAGCGCAACCCGTCTCCGACAGCGACAGCGACTGGGGGAGACTGCGACTGACCCCAAGACGATCGATGTTCCAGGCCCAGGGCCAGGGCCCAGGGTCCGTTCGGGCAGGGCTCTTAGCTAATTTTTGAACAACTAAAAATACAAATAAATATTTTAATGTGTGATTTACGACAATGACTCGCACAGGGGGTCGACTTGAGGTCTGGAGCGGCGGCTGCGGCGGCATCTTCTTCGGCGTGCATTTTGATTGGATTTGTGCGCTTCTGGCGCTCGTGTGGACCCCCTCCGGACTCTGCATTGAAATACAATTTAAGCGCCTTTAATGAACTGCAGAGAGGAGACTCTCTCTCTCTCTCTCGATCGGCGCACCGAATGGACACAGAAATCAGCGAATCGGAATTAAATTTGGGAATTATTTTTATGGGCTCATAGAGAGAATTGTTATTGGCACATCAAAAATGTGAGACAAATTTTACGATCGCATCGAATCGAATCGAAACGAGCTTCCATTAATGACCGCCTATCAATATCCAGATTTATGCAATGCCCCAAAGCAGTTCATAATTTTTTTTTTTATTTTTTTTTGCATATGAAAGCGACGCCCATAAAGTATGCACAACGAAAAAAAACAGGGAGGAGGGGGCCTTGCCTTCCGAAAATGGCCTGCAATTAATTAAAAAACCATTGACATTCATAAAAAGTAAATTGCGGCAACACAGCATCTCGCCTGACAGCGGAAGCAAACATAATGTCCGACTATTATGAAATCCATCAAACAGTTTTACAGAACACCTTCTGCAGAGCGCTCCACATCGCCCCAACGGAGCCCTGGACACCCCCTGGCCGCTGTGTACGGCGAGTGCGAGGCGATGAGTATTTATTAACTGGCTGCCACGAAGCGAATCGATCGCTGGATTCGATCGCCCCAAACACCTGCCAGGTACACACACACACACACCAGTCGCTTGCATCTAGAGATGAGTGCGTGATTTTATTTAAGCAAAATGGGTTTATTATTGGGGAAACAGTTTAGCCAGAGATGGGTGCTAGTTTTGCAGGGTTTTTTTTAAAGGCAAAGCGTCATGATTAGGGCGTTGATTAGATGAAGAATAAAAACTAAGTACAGTGGGAGTGTTTTTGCTCTCGAATATGTGAAAGAAAGATGCGTAGTTTCTCGTGAATTTTAAATGAAAAGTAGTACGATAGTTAGAGTAGCTCTATGGTGGACTCTCCTCTGCCTTGCGATAGTACCTTTGCATTAATTTTGGGTGTAGAAACAATATGGAAAAAGTATTTTTAGAAGTCTTGTATCAATTCACGGGCGCATCTCTAGCCCCCCCGAACTGATGATGGAGCACTGCCGATCGAGTGGCTGATGGTGATGCTGTCGATGATGATGATGGGTCTTGAGCTTGGTCCGGGGTATGGTGATGTTGCAGCAGCCTGAAGCCGGCTAACGAGCGCGAAATAATGCGCGAAATGTGGAGCAGACCCAGAGACTGCACTCAGCGACTGCGACTCTGGGACTCTGCGACTCTGGGACACATGCCCAGCTGAGGTACCAGGAGTGGCATCGGGACAGGCTTCGGTGGCAGTGGCAGGTCGCCTGGTAGCCTGCTGCAACGGTGGCGACTGACAGAATTATAATCAATTAGTGGAGCGGCAGCGTGAGCGCATAAAATTATACATTCCGTTGCCTGCGATGGGGCTTGCTACGGCATCCACAGCCCCCCATTCGTGTAACGCGTAGTGCAATTTAGTTTAAATTAAAATAAATTCAATTACGAGAACATGAAAATCCATTACGCAAATTATTGTCATTAAATGTGCAATTTGGAGCGCAGAGCGTTTATGAAAATTTTGATTAAATTTCTGACGCTTCGCTGGAAACAACAATCAAGGCAGCAGCAAGAACCCAAAAACAAAAAAAAAAAATAAACCAAAGTCTGGCACCAAAAGACTTAGGCCACAAACTTGCACAGAGTCTCTACGCATCCCCAGAGTCTCCAGAGAGAGAGAGAGAGAGAGAGAAAGAGAGAGGAATCCCTAATGCGGATCATGGCCAGCTGCCTAATTAATTAATTATAATCCCAGCGATTAGCATAGATCCCAACTAGGGGTCTCCTCGCTCTCGCTCTTGCTCTCGCTGTGGCATGTCTTTCGGGCACTCGCTTTCATTCATAGATCTCTCGCGGGGACAGCTCACACGCCAGCAGCAAACGGGTTATACTTGCTAAACGATTCGTTAGATAAGATACTGATATTGTATGGCTATGCGTATGTATGTGTATGTGTATGTGCATGGCAGTTATATATCCGAGCGTGTCTGTATATGGTTAGCTCCACTCACTCACTTAGTCGTGGAGTCAGTTAGTGACTGACAGACTCACCGCGTTTGATGGGTACTTGCTGCCGAGTGTCGCACTCAATTTGTTTAATCCACTGGGGACGGGGTAACGTAACTCTTTGGCTACTTGTATGAAACTGTGGAGCGGCCAGAGGGAAACTGAAGATAAATTTCAAAAAAATATATAAGTTTTTTATTAACTCTCTGTTTAATTTGATATTTGTTTGATTTGTGTTGATTGACTGGCATTTATTGAATTTATTTATTTATTATATTTACTGCAATTTTGGATGACCTTTTTTGTAGCAATTCTTCTGAAAACTGCATGGAAATTTCTTCTACAAAATATTTATAGAAAAATCCTCTAGCACATATTTTAAAAATTATTTTTAAATTTACTTTTCTATATACGAATTTATGCACAATTTGCCACAAATTACGTGAATCTCTACTCCAACTTTAAGCTAAACCCATTCTTTCTTTGTGCACTTTTTTCATGCAAGTTCTTTTCTATAATTTGTATGGCTGGATCGTTTTTACCGCCATGTTGCCCCCCCTTTCGATTACTTACTAAATGATTGCTGGAGCTGGGCACTGCAGCTGCAGTTTTGCCGTCGAAAATTGCTAGACCAAACAAAAACCAAACTACTTAGCCGCACACTCGCCGCGTAATTGAAAATCGATAATCTGTTTGAACCAGTTTGGTCTTGGAGCTGGTTGTGGCTCCGAACCGATACGATACGATCCGATCCGATCCAGCCATGTTGGCTTTTGAGGTAACCCACACCACAGACAGACAGACAGAGAGAGAGAGACACACACAGAGAGACGGAACCGCAAATCGTCTGCAAATTGTAACCGCAAAACGAGGTAGTGGAGAGAGAGAGAGGGGGAGAGCAGGCGGAGATTGGAGGAGAGGAGTCTGCAGAGGATCAGGTGAAGGTGGAGGCCGGAGTACCGGGCAATTGCGATTGATTTTAGCACGCTTAATGGTTATTGGTTTAGCTATGGCTATACCCCGGAGTCGGGACGATGGCTGGATGATGCCTGGATGGGTAATAATCCTCCCATTTACTGGACAAGTCCGGGGATTGATGGAGCAGAGTGGTGGCGGGGGGCAGCCTGCTGCTGCCACACCATAAATTACAAATAATTCGATTTACACAAGATTTTCACTCTTAATGGCCGAAAATGGGCCTCGGCCGTGAAAATAATGATGAAAACAAACAAAACTTAATAAGATTTTAAGCGATCTGCTCTGCGGCAGGTAATTGCACGGCCTCCACATCTCTCTCTCTCTCTCTCTCTCTCTCTATCTATCTCCTGCTGATTGAAAAATCAGACAAATAACAGAAAAATTGCTGGCAAATGTGGCCGGCCAATGCTTTGGGCCAGCCCAAAATATATACCACATTTGCCACATTAAGCCATTAAAGTTTTGGCCGCCTTGTGTCCAGCCTTTTGCTCTTGCTCTTGTCACCCAAATGCCACGAATGCCTCACTAAATGGCAAATTAGTGACCCAAAGGGTAGGGCAGGACAGCGCAGCACAGGGCAGGGCAGGGCAGGGCAGGGCTGAGATGTGCTCCCTTTTTTGGGGGGCACGCCCAAAAATGTCAACGCAAGATGCACTGGCAGAAATGTAGGCAGTAGCTAGGAAGCTGCAAAAAATGGGAGAAATTATTATTGAAGGAAAAATTGTAAATTTTAATTTTAAATTAAGAGTTGAATATATTTTCTACATATATGTCTGCTTTTTAACTTTAATTTTGTATGTCTGCTGCTTAAAGAGTTTAGGGGTACTCTCCCAGTGTGGCTTAGCATTTAAGGTTGCGTTTTTATGTCCTATCTCTCTCACTTCCTCCGCTGTTTGCTGTCTTCCAGTGAGTCTTCGAAAGATGCCTGAGGATCGAAATGAATTTAGAAATTGTATTGATTATTTTTTCAATCTCTGCTAAAACTTTTCCTTATTCCATATTCCTTGCTCTACCCGCTGGCTTCTCTCAGTGCATGTTTGGGGGGCAGCTGCTGGCAGCGTCCTATTTAATTTCACATTTCACATATTTTTATTATGCTGTTCACCGCTTGTCGCAGATTTCGCAGCGTCGCATGCCGCAAATGCCTTGCCCGATGGCAATTTTAATTTGTGGCAAACTCAAATTATAAATCGCATTGCAGCGTTGCAGCGTTGCTGCGTTTGCTGCGTTTGCTGCGTTGCAACGTTGCTGCGTTGCAGAGTTAATTAGCCCGCAATTATCGATGGCCATTGGCCACTCTCCTCCGGATTGCGATTGGCATGCCTCACGGCTTTCGTTTTGATCTTTCCATAGTTTGGGGGCACTTTCTGTGGCCCCCCTCCCCGTGCCGTGGCAGATCCAGCCACTGATTAGCCTAATCTAATCTTACACGCTGCAACACCTACGACAAAAAAAAAAACGCGCGCTCTAATCAGCCTCATTATGGGCTGGGCCCCAGCTGCGTGGGCATCACCAAAAAAAAAACGAATCCCAAATCGAGGCAGAAATATGCAAATGCTTCCAAAAAAGATCTCGATTCCGATCTCTTACACATGTCGCTGGCAGATAAGCTAAGGAGGCGTAGATAATGCCCCGACCAGGGTTTTATGTTTATTTAATTAGCGCATTCATTTCGTAGCCGAATTATGAATTCATTTTCGGGCCCTGCCTGGGGAATGGGTCAGTAGGATGTTATACGCACATCGCTCGCCATATAGGAAGTTATATCTCATGACTAAACGAATATAAAACGATGCATAGATCGAAATGAAGAGATACATAAATATATATTAGATTTAATTAGTTGGAGACATAAAATATAAACTTAAAGACTCGCTTTCAACTGGGGCTTGAAGCGGTTTTGTTTTATGACTTGCGAACTTTTATCTTTTGTCCTGTTCGCTATCACATTATAAATTAGATTTAATAACTCTAGATTATGTTCAATTTGTGTCTTAAAGCTATAGTTCCTTGGCTTTATTTCGGATGCGAAAGCATTGGCTTAAAAAAGATTGTGTGGAAGTTCTTTGGCTGTAAATTGGTTAAAGAAAAAGGATGGTTATATGTGCCGCACTTTTATGTAGCTAAAGGTACGACTAGTATGAGTATTATTATTACTAAATGAGCACAGAATAATTTGGTTATTCCACATAAAGGTCAAGCTAAGGCAAAGGTAAGGAATGGAAAAGGTTATTATAAGCCATGGAAAATCAAGGTATTCTTAAGTGTATTAGGAGTACGAGTATTATGGAGTAAATGAGTACTATGTATTCGGTATTTCAGCATAAATTAAAGCACGTTGGGTACAAGTTTAGAGTGTTGAATTCTGGAAAATTAAAGTCTGGAAGCGCTTTTTATTCTGGCTCTTAGCTGCCGATTTTATGACTGCTATGACGAGTAAATAAAATGGATTTAATTTAAGTTACTCCACATAAATAACAGATTGGTTGGGGAACGGATTTCAGTTGTGTTCAATTTATTGATGATGAATCATTAAATATTTAAATAATCTAAATAAATTTTTCGTGTAGGTATGACTCGCACAATACTCAAACGAATAACGCACACAAAGTCCAGTTTTAACTTCCAAACATCAACAAACAACTTAAGTTTCAGCCATAATTAAAACTCATAAAATAACAAAGGATACGTTTTGGCTTCCTCAGAAGTATCCCATGAAGTTGCCATCTTTCCTACTAGAATAACTCATTCAATGTACACATACATATGTATATCATACATACATACATACATATATCCATCTGCATGCTACACACTTCGCGTACGAATATGAGGGCTGTCCGTAGACAGAGGCTCCTCTTGAGCCTTGCGTGCTGTGTCCACAATGTGTCTCGTGCTAAGTTGTTGCTGCCACTGCTGCCACTGACACTGCTGTTCTGGCTACCAATTGCAGCCTCTACCCAGATCGAGTGGGGGTACTGCTGCACACATGCCCCATGCCTCTCGTGCCTCTCGCTCACTGGGACCATGTCGATAAGGATCAATGTTTAGCCGTTGCTACGTTTTAATATACGTCTCTGGGCTCTGGGCTCTGGGCTCTGGCTCTGGCACACGTTGCCATGATTTGGGGCGGTGCTACACATACACAACATGCCAGGGCACGGCAGAGAGAGGAGGGAGAAGCCCAGAGTCTCGCAAGTCTTCAAGCGGGGGTCTTCACTTACACCGAAAAACTTCGGTAGTCGATCTTCGTCTGCGGTGTCGTCTTTCCTTTGTTTCTTTTGTCTTCATATCGCGCCCGTGGCTGAGTCATCATTTATATATACATATATGGGGATAATGTCCACTTTATATAGCTCGCCTGGTTCCTTGTCCCCCCCGCATCCGCCGCATTCTGTCCCTCTGTCTTGGGTGGCACTTCGAGTGCTTTGACTTTTGCTTGTCAATGAGCGACGTCTTTGATAACTAATTGCTCCGGCGCCAAATGTTTCCCCATTTCGTTGTGTGTTCTCTCTCTCACTCTTTCCTCTGTCTGTCTGTCTGTCTGTCTCTCTTTCTGTGTGTGTGTGTGTGTGGGGGTTCCGTGTGTGGCGTTGTCTTTGGGACATAATAAAAGTCACATCGTTACCGTTTTGTCGGCGCTTATGAGGTCGCACGAGCAGCATTTCTTGATTTATATTGAAATTTTGTGGCGCTCTTCCATTGGTCCAGTGGTGCCCCAGCAGCAGCAGCAGCATGCAACAACCACATGCAACACATAAAAAGTGAGCAATTATGGCAACAAGTTAATTAGGATCCGAACAGCCCACAAAGCTCCGCTCCGATCGACATGCTCCAATTGCTGCAGCAGGCCAAATGGAATTGTTAGCTTCTGCCATGTCTTCCGATCTCCGGCAGCTCCTGCGTTACCTCTTCCCATCATTTGGCTCTTCCTCTATACCCTGCATCTGCCAGGCGAACTGGCAGTCTTGCCTAAATTTAATTTATGCACAAGTCCCCCGAAAACAACCGCCAAACACTGAATAATTTCATCTGCGCGAGTAACCAGCGGAAGGAAAGTTAACCTGAACAAACCAAAAAGGCAGGAGAGATGGATTTTTATACCCGTACTCAAAAAAGAGTAAAGGGGTATATTAGATTTGTGGTAAAAGTGGATGTGTGTAAAGCAGAGAAGGAAACGTTTCCAACCCCATAAAGTATATGTATATAGTCTTGATCAGCATCAATAGCCGAGTCGATATAGCCATGTCTGTCTGTCCGTATATACTGACTGAGTGGTATAAGTAGAGTCGCGTCACCAGAAGCGACTCACACGTTCCTTCTCGTTTTTTGTCAGTCTTGGAGGCATTTATTACCCTGCAAAAGGCAGCCCGAAAAATTAGTTTCTTCATTTTTCATAGCCCTTACATTTAAAATACAATTAATTCAATTAATTTCATTTGCACTTTTTTTATAACATTGGAAAATCGAATGGCATTTACATTTTAAGAACAAAATGATTAAACTATGATTTCATTTTCAATTTTCTTATCATTTCAATCCCAGAGTGGATATTCATACCGGAATCAATGACATTTTAGGATCAAATTGATGAATCACAACTGTTTATTGAACCTTCAAAATTTAGAAACTTCACCAGGAACGTACTGCTAATAGTTTATTCTTTATGTGGGTAAACAAAAATGACTCGGATGAGCAGCTTCGAATGTAGATTCGATCTATCGAAACTGAAGTTAAAAGTGTGCCCATAAAATGTGTCAATGTGTTTTGGGGGGAATGTGTTGGAAAGATCAATAAAGATTATTTTTATGAGCGAAGGAAATACTCGTATGCAAGTTAGAGAGATGATCTCATCATTGAAATCTATGATCTTAATAGATTATCATCCAGATACACACCTTAAGGCAAATGTGGAAATTATGAGTTGATCTTTTAGGGCAGGCCAAGGGGGGGCGATCTACAGAAACCTCCCGCTCTATTTTTGAGCATGTATTTCAATAACTTCCCATGGGTGATTACAGATTATCTCATCAAAACTGCCCTGGAAATGGATTTAGCATGTAACTGGATTACTGGTTTCATTCACATCGAACAGATACATTTTCAGATACAGATACAGATTCACAGAGATGTCTTCCCCTCTAGTTCGTTGCCCAAGTCTTTTGTTTGTCTGAATGAATTTATAATTCCCTCAAAAAAAAAAACAAAAAACGATTCCCACCACAGATGTTTGTCGGTTTGGAGGTTGTTGTTTTATGGCCAATAATCTATGCATATAGCCATACAAAAATGCGGTGGGGATATATTTCAGGGCCACAATGATTTCGAATCTCATGTGCAATTCCCTTCGTCATAAATCGAATTAAGATTTTTGCATTTAACTATCATTTTTTTTTTGGTTTTGGTTTCGGTTTTCCCCCGCTGCGGCTCTTAGCTGTGTATCATGGAAAAGCTGCAAGTATTTTTCGTTTTTCCATTATCCGCTATCCATTTTCATTATTTCCATTTGTTGTTGGCAGGCTTAATCAAAGTGGCGCTAATTAGTTTGAGTCGTTTGGATAATTGCAAATTAAACGCAAACTTAATTGCGCCGACACACGAAACACACAGATACTCGTACATACACACACAGCAATGCACTCGAGCAATTATATAGATACATACATACAGACGAGTATACATACATATATATTTTCAGAAACAGCAGCGACAACAGCAACTGCATTTTGTCTTGCAAGGCAACAAAAAAAAACAAATAAAAAAAAACCAGCAACAAAAACAAAGAAAAAGTTTAAAAAAAATGAACAGAAAAACAACCGCCTGCGTTCTGCGTCTCTTTCTGGGGGTTGGTACCCTGGCAAGACAGCGGCGGGCCAGGGTATTATGATTCTGACCAGAGTTTTATAATGCAGAGTATGCAACTATTTCCGAACCCATGAATTAATCACAGAGTAGCTATTGAGTATCGTAAACTGTATACTGAAACGATATTAGGCTTGGGTTTCTGTCTATTTATATGCCAAAAATAATATCTAGGTTTTACTGATTCGCTGTTTCCAAAAATCGTATTACTATATTCTATAGTTGCCAAGAAAAAATTGCTTTAAAGATAAGACTTTGTGAGGAATGGCTACCAAACGTCACAAATTCATCAATTAATCACTCGAAATAGCTTAAAATCGGATCATTATTTCATATATTTTGTATTGACTCATCTACTAAAGGAATTTGGATATGCATGTAGTTCTCCAGGGTATCTAAAACTTCGGCTGTGCCTTTGTGTTTGTTGTTTTTGTTGATTTTGTGCAGTGAGTGCTCGTGGAATTAACAATTAAGTTTGTGTTGCAGATAAATTGAATTAAAACCTAACAAAAAAGCGCATTAATCAAATGTTTCTGTGCAAATTTGCTAACAAATTAAATGCATTTACTCAAATAGAATAGAGATGTTGTACTGGAGATGCACTGCAAGAAATTAACTCAGAAAGGGAACTCAACCAGAAAGAGCGAAGCTGAAGTGGAATTTAGGAATAAAATAGTCCGTGATTAAATTCACGGTTCTTTAATTTTGTGGGAACAATAAAAATACAAGAAATCATACCAGAAGGAATAATAGTATAATTAAAACATGGCTATTACGATGTAGTTATTATCCTTTTATAATCCGAATTATACAAGGTTCCTTAAGTGTTCAGATTTATGAAAGATAGTACCTTCTTATGCCTTCTTATGCCCACTTGTGATTTATTTCACTCTTTGTCCATATCAAATTTCGGGCAGTGTATAGCAGGTATTGTGCAATCTGCAAAGCCCAGACACGATAGAACACAAAAACTAAACAAATATCGAATCGAATCAAATTGACGTTGGGGTGTAATTAAAATGCAGTCTCTTAATGTCAGCGTTAATTAGTCGCCTTAATTAATGATTATTAATATGGTTGTTGAAACTCCCCTCTCAGCAGCGCTCCTGCCATCGTATATTTATACCTATACCCTCCTCTTGGCTTGATTATTATGCAAATTAATTGTTTGGTCTCTTTTTTTGTTCTGTCTCTTTTTCACTGTATCTTTTTTATTATATTCTGCATTTGACGAACTCATTGAAATGCATAAAATGTAACCAACATCGAGGAATCGAGGGTGAGAGAGAGAGAGAGGCACAAAATTATACAGTCTGAGAGGCAGTGGCCGTGCCAGCCGTTGTCCGTCGGTTAAACATGATTATCACAGTTCCACCTCATCGCAATTACCAGGGCATGTGAGGAGGATGCCAAGTCAAGAGATCTCTGGCACTGCCTCCTTTTTTTTCGTACCATAAAATATGTATCTTCAGTGTCGGAGTCGTAACTCTGGCCACAACGGATGGCGGTTGGCCAACAAAAAATCCGGTAATCGAATTAGGCAACTTCGTGTTTTATAAATGTTATCATAAATATTCCATTTTATTAATTACCGCGCATAATTCACAAACAAAAGCAACCGAGAGAAATCATTTAAAATATCGAAGAAGATCGAACATCCAAGCGATTCAAGCAAAGTTTCCTCTCTCTCTCTCTTGTTCTCTCTGTCGATTGGATCGATCTCCAATGTTCGAAGTTTCCGCTCCCTCTCGTTCATTGTTGTTCGAACTTCGACTTCGAATCATTAACATATTTAATTTGTTTCTAATTTATTCATAAATTTATATTTGTAGCATCCTCCTCTGCTCATGATGATTCTCTTGTTTTTGATCATGCCTCCCTTCATGGCTACCATCCCATGCCCAGTTCCCCAATCCCAATCCCATTCTCTTCTCTGATTTATGGGAATACAACTGATTAATGGCAGATCCGACTCGAATTCGGTTTCGGACTCGACTCGTATTCGTATTCGTACTGCCAAGATCTGGTCGGACTGGCCATGATTCACTGCTTCACTCATAAGTAGGTGTTGTTACGCATATTAGGAGGGTTACGAGAGAGGGAGAGAGGGAGAGGCAGCGCTATTAGGCCTCGGCTTATGGGTAATTTGTGGGAATTACCAAATGAATACAAAGAAAACGAGGAGCAGGAGGCTTAAGCTATTGTCTTTAGCTTATAATATGTGGTGGAGTTGGGAGGAAAAGTAGTGGCTTTGGAGACAAGTTTAGAAAGGAATATCCTATGGGCTGAGTTGTGCTGCTTTATTCCCTTTGGATCCATTTATCCAACTTTTCTTTAGTGCAGTTTATCTCCTAGTTGAGCTCTCTTTGATTTAATTTACTTTGTGAATTTATTTTCGAAAATTCCGTGTTAAATACTTGCACATACAATGAAATAACTTATTCGCTTACGACTAAAGTGAACCAGCAAATGTCTTGCACTTGGACTTGGGAGCTTGGGGCACGCCCCCAGCTAGCTGACGACATCGTTGCCATGACCGTTCTGTCGCAGCAGCTCCAGCTTCAGTTCGTGCTCGCGCGCCTTCAGTCGCAGGGCGGCAATCGAGGAAGTGCGTCGATCCTCGGGCGGCGTGGATGAACGGGGCGGCGCAAGCTGTGCCGGCGGCAGTTGGCGCTGCGGCGAGTGGGACAGGGTCAGGGCCACGGGCGACGTCTGTGTGGGCGAGCCGCAGGGCACCTGGTGGGTGAGAGATATCCCCACCAGTTGCTGGGGCGACAGCTGCGAGGGCTGGGCGTGTGGTGGCTGCTGCTGCTGCTGTGGTGGAGGCTGATGCTGATGCTGCGAGGCGCCAGAGTCGGGCGAGGTGGGCGAGTGAAGGTCGGGCGATCCCACCAGCATGGGCTTGCCACCCATTGGCGGCATGTGGGGTGGGCCGCGCGGCACTGCCGTCATGTTGGCCAAGAGCGACTGGAAGGAGCTGGAGGGCGAGTACATCCCGGCCATGCCCGGTGGCAGCATGTGAGGAGGAGCTCTAAAAGATGCGGCAGAGAGAAAACATCATGGGTTAGTGGAACTAGTTCTCTTGGGAATTCGCCAGGCACTACACTACTCACCGCTGGAACTGATTGAAGTAGCCGGATGGGATCATGGGCGCTGCCGAGAGATGCGGGTAGCGGAAGGCGGCCAGATTCGCCGCGTGTTGGGCATCGAAGGGCTTGCGCAGCTGGAAGCCCAAATGGGTGAAGGGATTGGGCGGCAGGGCGGCTCCCACCACCGTCTGCATGCTGGCGGCGCCGCTGGGCAGGTAAGGATTGTATGGATGCGACTGTGGACCCACCTTCTCCTGCTTGCGCCACTTGGCGCGACGATTCTGGAACCAGACCTGCAACAAGAAGGAGGAGGAGAAGGCCATGAATTATGTGTGGCTGGCAGGCTACTGTATCGGTATCCACAACAGCATCCTCCACTGCACTGCACACTGCACGGAAGACGCCTCAGCCTCATCCAATTAATGGGCGTTGTTATTGAAAACGCCCCTTTAATTAGTTTTTAACATAACAATCTGAATATGGGAGTCGATCCCAGGGACAAGAACGGTGGCTGATTGCACTCAAACTCTGAGTCGGACTCGGACACGGAATGGGAATGGTGAATGGTTGGGGGGGAGTGGCACTGACTGTATGTGTAGTCCTTGGGAGAAATGGATGTTCGGTTAAGCAAATAATGTTGTTTAGCATTGGGGGTAATAATTAAAAACAAGAAGCGCCGTAAATTGTAATGACTGGCACTAAACCAAAAAAAAAAAATTGAATGCACATTCATTCTCTCTCTCTCTCTCTGCATCATCTTCAGTTCTGCTCTCCCTCTCTCCCACGAAGATACCCTTCAGTGTGTCTAACTGCGAGTCGATTTCATTAGGGACGACATGCTCCATTATTTTTCAATTTTACAACATTGTTTGTGGGGCTGCACGTGGGGCACGCGAATCAACCGCAAATCTCTTTGGGGGCCGGGCCTTACCTGAATGCGCGCCTCGGTTAAGCCAATTTTCATCGCCAGCTCTTCTCTGCAAAAAAATAAAAAGTTGAAAGAAAAACCAGAGGTTTAGTGGCAAATAGATAGAAGATTTAGTTGATAATCAATTGTAATGGTTGAAAGGCATTGAAAGGTTTTTTTTCCTTGCCGTAAAATTGGGAGAGACTCTCTTTGAAGTTTTGCTAAAGTTTTGATCCGAAGTGACGCTCCCTTCTGCACTCCTAATTGCGCCGCACTCCTGAGTTTCACAGAGCGAGCTTTACTTAAGATGATCTCTCTATCTCTTTCTCACACCGGTATTATATTCGCTCTTAGCTTTGACCTCTCTGTCGCGCGCCGCTCACACTGCGCTCTCTCAGCGAATGCAGCCCAAGTGCTAATTGCAGCTTAAACACAAATTAAATCCGATTTGATTTATTTGCTTAATTAATTGCCGCACATTCAAATCAAGCAGCAAGCAGGCCTCTTAATGAATTGAGAACTGCAGCAACAAGCGTTGCAAAAAGTTGATCTAATTGTTGCTGCTGCTGCTGCTGCTATTGACATTGTAAGTAAGCTTTTTCCTTTTCTGTTGTTGTGTTGTACTGTTCCGCTTGGTCATCGTGCGGTCTCAATTAGCAGTTCACTTTGGGGACTCGAACTGGGAGCTCTAGACTGACTGACTTTTAATTTATGGCAATTACTTTGGCTGTCTTTCAGCCGGAGAACGAGACCAAAGTCTCGAGAGATTTCTGCATGCTAATTGAACTCTGGGAGAGGGTCATCGATTGGGATCTATGAGAGCTGAAGCCCTGATCTTTGGTGATTTGTAATCGAATCGCCCATAAAGGCCCATACAAATGTTGCTCCAAATAAGATCGATGGAAGATCCAACCAACCAACCACTCAGGGGGGTCGGTCGGTCGTCATAAGTATTATTATCAAGCGAGTCGTAAAACCAAGGAGCGTCTCTCTTCTCTCCCTCCTCACCCTTTTGTCGTGATGTCTCGCTGATGTCTCGATGAGCGATTTATGCAAATTTCATTTCTCTCCTCACAAAAAGTTTTTTGGGGCCATTTTCCATTCGGGCGTTCTCGCTTATCTTTTGTCATATTATATATATATGTATGTATACTTGTTCTTTTTGTTGTTGTTGTTTTAGTTCTCACTCTTACTCACCTCGTAAACACATCGGGGTAATGGGTGCGTGAGAAGGCCTTTTCGAGCTCCTCCAGCTGAAAGCTGGTGAAGGTTGTCCGATAGCGACGCTGCTTCCGCTTCGGCGCATACTCGTCCGCCTCACAGTCACTGTTCGCGTCCGAGATGGGGCTGTTGGTGCCCCCGCTGGCGCCGCTGGGTGCGCCGCCAGAAATTGAAACCGTTAGCGAGGCCCCGGCCGTCGCCGCCGACGCTGAGGAGACGAGCACCGAGCCACGTTCGACCACAACGCCATCCGGGTGCCCCAATTTGGCTTCTTGCGGTAGTTCCTCCAGCTTGATCTCCTCCGATATGCCCATAATCCACCAAGGCACACCAGTACTCCAGTACTCCAGTATCCCACCAAAGGCAGCTGCAACGAAACAGAACAAGGGGGCTGAGTACAGATTATTGACGGGGGGGGCTAAGGGGTTATAGTCGCGCATTAGAAGCTCGTAATTCAATAAACGCTAAACGTGCAATTATCGTGCACTTTATTATGCCAATCTCTGTAATTTCTGCCATCGAGTCGTACTCGCAGCGCAGCCATGACCAAGTCGGATCCGATTGGATTGCATCGGGACTGTGGGCCTCGAGGTTAGAGCTGCGGTTACACTGTCCAGCATAAGAGAGAGTTGAGTGTGGTTGAATGGGATGGCTAATGGGGGTATTGTTGGAGTACAGATATTTCTTGTGCAACTTTTTGCAGTGTTAGGCGAAGTTTAAGGATGAATAAATGCCAATGATATATCCAAAAAAAAAAAGTCTATATAACAATAAAGGGAAGTTACTTTCTACCTGGAAGAGACTACATGTCCAACACGAAAAATCACCCTTAACTGCTAAGACACACTGGGAGAGAGAGAGAGAGCTGGAGAGCGAGGCGGGAGAGTAGCTGCGAAACTTATTTTCTTCATTCTGGCCATAAGAATGAATGACAGGCATGCTATATCGAATCGGTTATTGATGCTGATCCAGAATATATATTCTGTATGGGATCGGAAACGTATCTTCTGTCTTTTTTGTACGTTTACTGGCATTCGGCTATAAAAAGCGACGATATATTTTATTTGAAACATATTTAAGCACATTTTGGCAAGGAATTTCTAACTTTTATATGCAGAGGGATCTATTGTACACTTTCAGGTATTCCCCAAGTTATTTATTTCTAGCGAAGAATTCTCCCAAGTCCAAGTCTAAGTGTTGCGGTTCGGGAGCGTGCCTTATGGTCATGGCCTGTGGTCTGAACCTCCAAGCTGCAGCTTGTGGTCAGAGCCAGAGCCAATGCAAATCGATGACCACACCATGGACACCATGGATGGACTGCAGCTCTGTCCGTCAGCTGATCTCTTCCATCAACACGTTTCAGCTCGCTCGCTGAGTTGGGTTTACTTTTGCAGCCGTGGCCGGGGCTGGGGCTGGGGCTGGGACTGCTGATGGCTGATGGCAGCTTTCATGTGCAGATCGTTTGGAATTTTAATTAAATTGGGCGGCAACTTCATTTTCATCATCATCAACTCAACAGCAGCTACAGCAACAGCAGCAGCTATAGCTCCACTTTGAGTTTGAGTTCGAGTTCGAGAAGCAGCGGAAGCAGGTTGAGACTCAGGTTCAGGTCCGTGTCCATGTCCATGTCGCTTCTATCAGATCAAATTAATATCAGGTGGCAGCAGTTGGTTTTGCCTCGGCCTGCCGCTCGTTCTGGCCTGAACTTCACGTCAGAGTTGAAATTTTTGGTAATTTCATGTTTTGCTAATTAATATACGAGGGGTCTCTCTCTCTCTCCCTCTCTCGCTTTAATGACAACTAAATGGTTAGACCCGATGTGTAACCTTCCTCTGCGGAGCTGCTGCAATGCCACGCCACGAGGTTGAAGCCGGTTCCCAGTCCCTGTGCCTGTGCCTTTGCCTTTGCCTGTGCCTGTCCCATGATGCCCAAAAGTCTGCTTGATTGATGGCCGCTGATTCTGTTGACATTTCAGTGGGCCTCGAACCCAGACCCAGCTGAATACATATATCAAAATTGTCCAAATACCTTGTTAAATGGCAAATTAGTGTGGCTGTGATTGATTTAGTTGCATTCTTTTGCGGAATGAAGTTGCAACAAGCCAACAAAACGAAGACCCTTCGAGGGGTCCATTAACTTGCTGAGGCAACTTGTTGGTCTGTTTGCCTTCAGTTAATAACTCATAACTTCGCTGATATGATTTGTGCTGTCAGTTTTTGAATGCTGTCCACAAATTCCACGCATTGACAGCTGACAAACTTAATTTGTGTGGCGGGCAACCGTGCGGACCGTGGACCGCAAATTATTAAATTAGTTGTACGAATTGCAATTATGCTGCTGCTGCTGCTCCCTTCCTTCTTTCCCTGCTAGCCCCCCCTAAAACTGATTAATTCATTGCATGCGATAGCTGCAGTAGCTGCAGTGGACCGACTTACTGCTGCATACTACCCGAAAGGTATGCGGGCAATGTGTGCCGTTTGGCTTTGTTGTAGAGCCGCCGCCTTATAATTGTATCCGCGTTACGACTTTATTATTGCCTTTTGCCAGCAATCAGAGAGAGAGAGTGAGAGGGGAGTGGGGAGAGGGGAGAGGAGAGACCCCAAGCTCGCAGAAAGAGTGCTGCACAAGGATGATGTGATGTGATGGCTGTTGTCTCTGATTGACGTTTCGTTGGGGTAATTAAAAGGCAAAGCCAAGAGTGCCTGCAGAAACTGTCAGGTTTCTGCTTTTTCTTCGGGCAGACCTGCTCTCATGGCTTCATTTAGTCAGTGCCGGGGACAACAACTAATCAAGTTAACGCTGCACTTGCTCTGCCCAATTGCAGATAGGTAGTGGAAGCAGAAGTGGACCGGCTCGGTGCGACCAGGAAGAGACTCAAGAGGCAGTGCAGCAACTGCAGGCGGGGGCGAGTTCGTGGCTAACATTTTGACACAACATTCAGAGGAGTCGCAGTCGAAGTCGCAGTCGAAGTCGAAGTTCTTGCTGTTTAGTCCCTGGATGCTAATCAGGCAAAGCGCCACAGCCCCAGAGCCACAGAGCCACAGCCATGCCCCAAGACGTCTGGAACCTGGAACTTGTTTGCCGGTTGCTTGTTCCGTTTAAAGATAAGCTCCATTAGTGTCTCGGGTATATGTTATACTTTGTATATTGAAGAGCACACACACCGACACACACGACATTGTAAGAAGTGTGTGGGTTTTTCCTAAGACATATGGAAAATTAAGAAATTAATTCGTAATACGAAGACAAGTGTACTTCTGGCAGGTACTTCTGCAGCAGTCTCTTCTGAACAGTCTCTCCAGTGTCCACTGTCCAGTGTCCAGCTCTCTGTCTCTCTGTGTGTCTCTCACTGTTGTCGTCACTTCTGTCATCTCGATAAGCATCAATGTTTCTGCCTTTGCGGGCTACTCTTTCCACAACTCAACTCAACTCCACACACAGGGAGACTCCTCTCCACAACTCAACGCTCCTTCAAGTCTCTCTCTTCTCTCTCTCTCTTGCGCTCCTTTGGGCCTGGCCTGGTGTCGTTTTTATGGTTGCACTTTTGTGTTTTTAGCTTCTTCTTGCGGGTCCGTCCGTCCGTCTGTGCCTGGCCTGGCCTGGCCTGGCATATTTCATTAAAAGCCACAACGGACGGACCATGGGACGACTGTTGCTGCTGCTGCTGCTGCTACGGGACCAGGTAGAACAGCAAACAGAAGCTCTTTTCTGGCATTTTGTTAATGCGTCTCCCCAGTCTCGAGTCTCCCCAGTCTACAGAGTCTCCAGAGTCTCCAGAGTCTCCGTCTGCAGTCGCGTCTCTGTATCTGGTGCTGTGCTTATTTATGGGTTTACATTAGGCTAAACCACTTTAGTCACACTTTGATGATCGGCATTGTAATTTCCCCCCACCACCACCACCACCACCACCACCACCACCACCACACATACTACGGCATGCACCCGCCATGATAATGGCAAACATTTTGGGTGGCTTAAATCCCAAGAGGCGAAAGCTCATTCGTTCTCCATGATACCAAGCGAAGAGACGGAGAGAGAGAGAGCGAACAGAGCCTTCTCCTGAGCCCCATCCGAGTGTGTGGTCGCTTGATGGATTGCCTCCACACCTCTACACCGATCATTCCCACTGAGAAGCGCTTTGGATATTCTCTTCGCCTAATAGTTTCAGTTGATAAGGTCAATTATTAATTTTCGTCGAGCTCTTCTGAGTCACCCAAAAATACATAAAATTGATACCACAACGAGGCAGCTGAAGGTGAAGCTGAATCCGAATTGGAATCCCTTGGATTCTGTGGCTCTGTGGCTCTGTGGCTTAGTGGCCTCTGCTGCACCTGAGTTCTCTCTTCGTTTTTTGTTTCTTGGCGCCGTCTTTGGACCAGGTGCGATAAGGCAGCATTCTTGTTGTTGGCCCAGGCAGGCGCCTCCCGTCATCATCATCATCATCGTCTGCTTGTTGTTGTTGCTGTTGTTGCTGCTGCTGTTGTTGTTTCTTCTGTTTCTGTTGCGTTGCACCTTATGGACGACCTCTGCCTCTAATGCACACACTCTCCCAATTATAATTAGTTTATTCATATCCTGTGCCGTGTCGAAGCTGACTCTGCCGCCTCATTTGTTGTTGTTGTTCTTGGGGGCAATCTTAATTCAATTTACTGGCCAATCGACCCAAGAGACACTTCGACCTGTGGGCTACCCTAACCCACAGATAGCACACAGCTGGGTGGGGCAGGGCAGCAGGTGAACACTGGTGGAATAAATCCATAATTCAGGGCGGGAGATATGGTAAGAAGTGCTGATATTTATTGGGAATGTTTATAGCACTTTGCGAATGTTTTCTGCATATTCAGTCCCAAAAAATGCACTTGTGGGATATTGCTTATTCAATGATCTATCACATATCCTCACTGCTAAATTCTTGAATAAGTTTTCTGAAGGAATATTCGATCTTCGACAAGTTCTCTTGTGTTATCTTCTTTATTTTCTTTACTAGAAATGTTTGTTTAGCTCTTGTTCTATTGCTGAAATGTGGAACTACACATATAGGTATTAAAAGATTGATAGCTCTTTCCTCTGGATCTTTAAGTCAGCCTTTCATAGCTTTCGAAAGTCTGCTGCTGAGTTTATCTTCACATGAGATTTAAGCTTGAATTGTGATGCGCATTACATGAGATTTCTATTGTTTTGCTCTGCTTAAGAGTCACTTTATTCAGAGCATTCCATGCTGTTTCAGTATTTATTTTATCCCTTAAAAGCTGTTAGATATTCGGCTTAGATCTCTAGCCCACAAAGAAGGAATGCTTTGCCAATCTATTGATGATTTTGCCAGTGTATTCTGCACTTCGTTGTTTACTCTGGCAAAAGCCACTGCTTTGGCCACCCTAATGGAGTAGATTGCTGGGACGGTAGCCCCTAAGGTAGTCGCAGGTTCAAGTTGTGACTCAGGACCCAGGTTTCAGCCAGACGCGTAGCCCACTTCCAAGCTGTGGATGTGGCTGTGGCTCTGGCTGGGACTCTGGCTGTGGATCTGCTTGTTGTTGATGGCGATGCTGTGGCTGTTGTTGGATATGTTGGTGATGTTGATGCGGGGCCAATTACTCATAAAATGCATGTTAAAAACACAACAGCAGCAGCAGCAGCAGCGGCAGCGGCAGCAGCAGGCTACACTGTAGGATCGAGGAGAGAGGGATCTGTGATCTCTGTGGCTCGTACAACTGTTGCTCGACGCCGTCGTCTCCAACTCCAACTCCATCTCCATGTCCCTCTCCATCTCCATCTCCATCTGTCTGTCTGTGTGGATGGTCTGCCTCTGCCTCTGTCTGGTCCGTCTCTGCCCTTTGTCATTGTCTTGTAGGGTTTGATAAGCGAATCCGAGGCAGAGCAATTTGGAGATGTGTCCGACGACGACGTTGATTTCTCATGTTTGCATGTTCCATTTAGCCAAAGCAAAGCAAAGCAAAGAGGATGGGGGATGGGAATGGGAATGGGTATGGGTATGGGAATTGGAATTAATGAAGCACATCTCAATGAATCCTTCTCAGCAGACTTGGCGCCATCTTAGCCGCAAAGCCAAAGCTCCACAGATCGTGGAGAGTCAGTCGCTTTTCTTTTGGGGGGGTGTTGCTCAATCGAACTTCCATCAAAGGAGCCAGCGCACAGCCCGCCACCCAATTGGGTGCTGTCGAACAATCGTGGAGCAATCAGAACGTGTGTGTTCGTGTTCTGATAGCTGCCAAAAAAACCAAAAAAAAAATTCGGTTGTATATCTATAAGATACTATGGGCACGCCACGCTATCTATGTATCGGGCAACAAGTTTTAATTGTATGTTGCCGTAATTGAATTGAAACAGGTGCAGGGAAACATATTTTAATTTTGCCTCTGCCATCACCACAGAAGGAGGACAACAATCTTATCTGGGCAGATCTACCGCCTCAGCAGCACTATCTGCGGGGGCAGATGCTGCCACGGAGATACCCCAGGCTATTTGCGTCACAATTGCTGCTGGTGCTGCTGGTGCTGCCTGCTGCCTGCCTGACAAGTCACATGAGGCATTATTATTAATTAAATCAATCGTTTTGTGGCCCAAGTGCTGGCCAATTCGATTATCACCAGAAGGCGTAGACCGGAGACCTGCACCTTCCGCTGGGATGGTCTGCAAGTCTGGTGCTGTCTGTGAGGCAGCTTATCTGGCAGCTAGAGTCATGGTGCACAGACACACATCGTGTCTATCTCTGTCTATCGAGGTCTCTGTGCGGCCCTCGTCCACGTCGAATGTGAAGTGGTCAGTGGGCTTTTTGACACGATTATCTTGGCCCGATAGGGCCGGGGGCCCGGTTAATTTCATTTATTCTGCTGGAAACACACACTAGGTACAAGCACCCCCACTGGTGAGAGGGGGGTGGGGGCATACATCAGCCAGACAAAACGTGATTTATTGGCACAGGCTGCGGTGTGTGTGTGCCGCTGACAATTTGTACTCTTTAATGGTGTTTAATTAAAGCCAATCAGCGATAAACTTATCGAGCTATCAGCAGGAGCCCAAAGCGCAGTCTTCTACTTCTACTTTTGGCGGCCCATAGGGAACCCCCATCCCCATCCCATCCCTCCTTCCAACCCTCTTCATTGGCTAATCAAATTCCCTCTCTATTGGATGGTCTACAGCGTTGATATGATTCGGATTGATATGATACGAGCCGCGATAGGATGTGTCCGGGTGGGGAATTAATCAAATTTAATGATATTTAATTTTAGGTTTTACTTTTCGTTTCGTTTGCTGATTGGTTGCTTGATTCGCAGATTGGCTGGGGGAATTATGAAATATATATTCGGAATTATGGGCTACACTTGTACTTGTAATATTTGTCAATCATGCTGAGAAGTAGGTTAAGTCCGAGCGGGGATCGTATCTCTAGGATGGCTACGATAGCTACGAAAGTGATACAAGTTGGGTGGGGGGGGCAGCCTTTGGGGGGAGGTCTTGCGAGCAATTGGCATTGGGAGATTTTCGAATTAAGTGGGGGGAGGTGGGCAGGGGAGATAATGCAAAGCGGAGCTTGTCCTATTTTGTGTATCTTTTATGCGATTTTATTCCATTTGGAACTCCTTTCGGGTGTGTTGCTGTTGCACAGCAGCTATTGGGGATGGTTATATCCCTATCGTATCTACAGAGCACTGTACCAAATACTTTGTCATATTATCCCTAGATATAGACCAAAGGAATGCTATGAATGGGGTTAAAAATGCCTCACAAATCTACATATGTTTCGTGTATGGCTTCTCTCGATTGCGAAGTTCTATGATGTTCCCATGAGATTCATTTAATTTAGACAACTTAGTCCTATCATAACCTACCTGAATCAGGAAGAGTCTTAGCTATTTCTTGCCTATTTGATTTTCTGGGGAATTATTTATATTTTCTATAGATATGGATTGGAGCTAAGCTGAACTGAAGTAATGGGTTCCTTACGAATCTGTAGTTGCTAATCTTTAGAGTTTCAGATACCCCTCAGCTACCCATGGAATTAGTTGTAGTTCCCATGTAAAACTTTATCCTCCTTTGCATACAGCACCCCTCATATATTTCTTTATATCTGCTTCTCAATGGACTCAAGGCACGTGTTCTGCGACTCCCGAAATAAGGATTTAATTTATCTATCGCAACATTGTAGCTACATTCTACATAATATGAAATTAATTGCATAGTTTTCGAATATCAAATATCAGGAATTGTTCAACGGAATTTTTTAAAGTTTCTTCCGACTTTTAGGTGTTAAGATCTTACCTTATTTTCGTATATTTCAGTGTGCGCCTAGGGCAGTGTTTTAACTTCCTTGTAGAGCTCCTTTCTTTTCTTCTTCGGTTTCTTCTGTTTCGCCTGGTATTAACAGAACTTTACGTTCACACAATCGGAGAGGAGAGCACTTGCCGACGGTCTTTCCGCACTCCGTCAATCAGTCTTTGGCTTTGGGTTCTGTACTGTCAGATCTGGGGGGCTGTGCCGGATACTACACAATACTCTACGCCTCGGATCTATTATCTGCGAGTGGCTGTTCACACCTCCAAAGACGCCAGACACTCCACGCCAGCACACGACACAACGGGAGGAGAACGGAGAACGGAGAACGAAGAACCACGAATGATATATCGGAACGGAGCCGAGAGAGCGCGAACACGAAAGACGATGACCGGGCTCCGTCAGTGCCGCAAGCGAACTACAGTAAGAGCCACTGCCGCGCCGGTGAAAACTCAGGTGGGTTCCGTTCCCCAGGTGCCACAACCGGTTGGAGTTGTTGCTGCTGCTGTTGCTGTTGCTGCTGCTGTTTCTTGTGCCTCTCTCCCGTGTGTTGTTTATGGCCTCTGCCCTGCTCTGCCCTGCTTTGTTGCCTGTGAGTCGAAGCGAGAGGCAGCTATGCGATCGGTGGCTGCGATCGATCGTCACAGGTGTTGGCGGCGGCAGGTGCTCCGCCCCCTTTGGCTGTGAGTGCGAGCGGGAGGGCCAGTGGCGAGTGGCGGCGACAGCCTATGGGAGGCGTCGCCACGAACAGAGCGCAGTAATGGCGGCGGCGACGGCGGCGACGTTGGCTGCTCTCTCTCGTCCGCCAAGCAAGCGGCGAGCACGCGGCGGTGGCTTCTCTTTGCTCTTTGCTCTTTCTTGGCTTTTGCGTTTCAGACGCGACGCTCCCTAGCTCTCTTTCGCTCTCATTGGAGTGTAATTGAATAAGCCGCGGCACAAAGTGCAATAAATTTGATTAGCAAAATGGAAATTTATTTGCCCCTCCGCCGGCGGGTTAACTCTGCTGCGTCTCGTCTCCATAGATGCGTTTCCCCCCATAGATGTTGCGGCTCATAAATTAAATAATTTAGCCATGGCATTGGAATCCACATATGTGAACAGATAGAGAAACTGCTGGCAGGGAGAGAGACAGAGAGAGAGAGAGAGAGAGGTTGTGGCCAGTGGTGGGAAGGGCAGAGGAAGGGAGTGTGTGGGAAAGGCAGGAAGGCGTAAAGAGAGAGAGGGAGAGGGAGAGGATAAGGGAGAGAGAGAGCATTCTCCTCGTTTCCTCATATAAACCGTTTGTTAGTAGTGTTAAGGGCCTCGCTAATGACTTTGTTGGCTTTATTGGATGATTGCCCGGAGTCGTACGTAGTCGTAGATTATTGCCTTGTTTACCCACGTATATGGGATAGGGTCTCGGTCTCGGTCTCAGTCTCAGTCTGGGTCTCGGTCTCAGTCTGGCTCTGGGGGTGTCAGGATGCTAATGGGATATGCATTGGCCATTTGAAAGGGTCATAGAAAGAAAGAGTTGAAGAGGGAATGACAGATGAGGCTCTCCTGAGTTGAGTCATGCGTGCCAAAGGGTTTCTAATAGCGGTTCCAGGGTGTTGGCAGAGGATTCCCAAATGAACAGTTCAAAGACTCATAATATGGAAGTGTTGCATCGTTTAACTTATTGCAGACTTACTGCCATATGTTGCCATAACATTTGATGTGCTACCAACAGAATTTAAAATATTTTCAACTTGTAAAACTTATGAAAATGTTTCTGAAAATTATTTATATTATATATATATGTATATATATTTATAATATATCTTATATTATTTACTAGCTAAGTTTAACCTTTTCCCTTGAATCTCCATATATGCAATATTTTTAAGCCATATAGTTACTTAATTTAGAGTTTTATAAAGCCATTAAAAATGTTTTAAACGTGTTTTAAGCTGCTCGAACTTCATCAAACCTTTATAAAACATTATCAATATTATTTGTATATTATATATTATTAAATATACATATATATATTTTTATATATGTATTATATATTATTTTTTATATATTATATTAAAAGAAAATATATTTTCTTACTAATTGTTCACAAAACCTCAAATTTCCAGCGATAATGCATTCAAGCTTATCGTAATTCTACGAGTATAAATAAATTTCGATTGCATATATTCCGATCAGTTCTAAGCAAATTACTGAATCTAGACTATCCTTACATCATCATTATCTATCGCAATTTAATGTAATATTTTGAGTACTTTTTTATTACTTGTAATTCCGATATTTTCTTGGTCATCTTGGCACATCCAAACTTAATAAAACCCATACCCCTTATCACTGCTATTAGATTAATTGTCAAAAGCCCCGCTTAGCCATATTTTGTGCAAGGCATTTCCACCTAACTAATTCCATTTGTAGAGTGTTTCCCACTCTCATAGACCAATCCCCTCGGGAGCCAGAGCCCCCTCTTCTAATAGAGAACGCAGCCGGTCTTTGCCATTTTCGTTTCAGTCCTAACAGATTCCATTCCTTGATAACTACTTCATTAGGCCCGATATAAGCTGGCCATATAAAACGACGGCTTCATTCCAGCCACTTGTCCACTTGCAGCATTTTCCAGTGGAAGCTGCCGCAGCCGCTGCCCCCTTCCTGCCTCCTGCCCCTTTGCCACACTCTTGTTTGCTCGCTGCTGGAGTCGCCCAATTTGCTCGTATCGCCAGGCAATAAATAAAGTGTTAATGGCAATTGCATACAAATAGTTTGGTGTTGCCATTATATTGCCATATTATCCCATTGTCGGGCCTTAACAAGAAGCAAACAATGCGACGCCACAGTCGCTCAGTCGCTCAGTCGCTCAGTCGTGGAGTCGCGCAGTCGCAGATCTGGATTCAGAGTCAGCTTGAGAGTCAGGGTTGGAGGCGACTCCGATCGAGTTTTGCGACTGGCTGCACTGCAGCTAATTTCACGCTTCATTTACAGGCGAAATGCAAACAAAAGAGCGGCCAGCGGCCAGCGGCCGGCGACCAGTGACCATTTGGCCGATGGGTTCAATGGACAGGCGCAGAGGTCTCTCTACGGTATATCTCGTCCCCATGTGGCCGTGTCAATCAGCTCGTCGCGCAAGGTGTGCACTCGTTTTGGAGTGCGGACTCCGCTCGGCAATCGCTCTCGCGTCCACTCCTGTCCATTCCACATGGCGGAGACGCTGCAGCGACAGAGAGACAGCGAGAGTCGCGCATGCGCGCACGTCCTAATGTAATTATTATCTCAACAATTGAATTTCCGGTCCCGACTTCAGCTCGGACTCGGACTCTGGGTCTGGGTCTCTGTTGCTGTCTCTGGTATTGGATCTACTCCTGCACATGGGACAGATGTCGCGCAAAACGTTACAAATGTGCACTTAATTGCGCAATTAAATAATTTTATTTTTATTCCAGCTCGGCGCATTTTCATTTTTTTTTCCTTCTTCTTTTTCTTTTTTGTTGTATTTCTTTCTCTCTCTCGGTGTGTGTGTGTGTGTGTGTGTGTTGCCGATGGCAAACAAATTGCAGTCCAAGTGGCTGGCTGTAAGTCTGTTTGGACAGGCCCTATCTGCTGTCCGTAGGTGTCTTATTCATTATGGCCATTATGCAGCTTAGATATAAGCATTTATCCAATGTGTCCAGGCGGTGCCTGAGAGGAAAGTGGGCAAGAGGTGTATAGGTATGGGCAGTCTCTAGGACCCACTGTGTATGTATGTTCGCCCTCTTTCGTTAGAGCTTCGAGGAGTTGAAGGTGAGTGGATGTCTGCTTGGATATTAAAATATATGTGATAAATGCACAAATATCCTCCTGACAGCCGAAGGCCTCGGAAACCAGTGTTGCCTACGAAGTTGGCTTAAGTTTTATAATTAGATTATTAATAATAGCAAATAAATATAGTAAATCTGCTCCTTGGCTTAGATCAAACTATTTCCGACGTCATATTCGGTTCAGGAGGCACGAAGGAAGTACTCCCCTGATCGATCAATTTCTCCAAGAAAATATCTAAGTACTAAAGTTTAAGCTAATTTTTCTCGCAGGATGAACTCCTCCTTTTCGCAGAGTAGAGTAGTTCTCGCCAGCAGATAAGTAACGAAAGAATATTCCCTATGGGTGATTGGAAACCATTAGAATGGGTTCTCTAAGGTTGATCCGGCACGAGACAACTCATAACATAGAGTAAAGCCATTAAAATTATTATTATATTATATTATGTAATCCTTCTTTTATTTTTGGGTGATAGGGATGCCACCTAACAGAATAGTTCGAAAATTTCATTTAAATATTTATATTATCCTGAATGCCATTAAAATTATTATTACTATTATATTATATATAAATATATTATATAATATATATATATTAAATTAATTATTTTTATTATAATTTCTATTAAAATTTTTCTTCCAAGAAGATCTTCGCTCTTCTAGAGCCTTGTTCGTATTAAGAAGTGATGGGAAAATCCATATGATTCTCCCAAGTTGCTATCCTTCCTGTGGCATAGTTATTTGACGAGTTGTATCCTCATGTCACGCCTCCGAAAGCAACTCCAATTGTAGTTTCGATTTCCATTTTCACTCAACCCCCCACCACTTTCTCTACCCCGCGAAATGACTTCTCCAATTATGCCCTGACATAATCTCCGTCTCGACATAGTTTTCCCTTGGAATTGGCCCTGCCCTGGAATCCCGTGGGGGGTGGGGTGAGGGTGCCTGTGTGGCGTGGTGTGGGAAATGGTGTAGCAAATGCAAACGCAAACGCAAACACAAACGAAACGCAACTGTAAACGATACCAAATTATATTTAATTACGTGCGATTAGTTAGGGTTACTGGAGTCGCGCGATGAAATGTCGCCGATAAGGCCCCGCCCGTCGGCCCATAAATAGTACCCAACAGTAACAACAACAACAACAGCCCAACAAATACTACGAGTACTACGACTCTGTTCCAAGCTCTCTGTTTCCAGAGGCATTAATTCAATTACAAATGGCTGCGGTTGGTTCCGTCAGGGCAGGGCGTGTGACATAATCACCCAACAAAACTGTCGCTGGATGGCTGCTCTGCCACCACCACCACCACCAACAAAACGCTGATGGCTGCTACAAATAATTCCCCTCCTGATTCCCCCGCCTGCCCGATGGCTGGGCATTTCCTTGGGTGACTCTCTGCCCCGCCCCATGGATCATTATTTGGTAATTTGATACGACGATTTGTCTTGCTTTCATTGCGTCGGCGGTTGCATTTTCACTCAATTGTCGTGTAGGCCAGACCAGACCAGGCCAGACCAGACCAGGCCAGGGCACAAATTGACTTGGGCGGAAGCGCGTTATTAACTGGTTTATGCAACCCAAAATCGCCAGATTTCCAGCCAACGATAAGGCAGCTCCCCCTTCTGCTTGG